TAACCCTTATCTCCACGCTCACTACACGGCCTGATAGGGCTCTGTGTGTAAGCAATTAAAACAGCTTATTTGCCAGATAAGTGGGGGAGAGCGGTCAGATTGAAAGCCACAGGCTGCCAGTATCAGGTCTTTAGGTTACAGCCCCCCGGGTCAAATAGCTCGGAGCTCAGTGTTGATGTGTGGAGGGGGGGGCTGAAACTCACACACACACACACACACACACACACACACACACACAGGACCCTGTGTCTTTTTGCCACATCACCAAAATAAATATGTATCTATCGCCATACACACAGATAGGAGCAGCTTTATAGAAAGGATACCGTCCTGCGTTCATTGGATTTTGGGAGGAGTGCACATAGATTATCATATATACATATTGTATCTCCATAAATTCTCTATGAATTAGATGCTGTTTGTGTATCGAAGCCTGTTTTCAGATTGCACACTGGAGTTATGTCATCGATGCTGCTTGGTTATTTATAAGGGAAAACATTTTTTTTGTTTTGACATTCATTTCTCTTCTTTTCATTAATAAGTCTGTTGATATTCTGCATGCTTCTTATTGTTAAAAAAATATATTACTAGTAGACCAAAACAACAAAACGAGCGCACTACATCTACTTTTTCGATCTGCTCCACTGTTCTCATGTCGGCTTCCCTCCTTTCTCGTTTGATTGTAATGTAACAGACAGATCGCATATCCCGCATGGCTAACAAAGGAAGCAGCTGACAATAGCCTCCACGAGCTGAGCGATAAGAGCGAGCATTAGAAAGACAGACGGGTAGAACCTTGAAATACAGGAAAGGATGAGTTGACTGGGTTGCAGCTCTACCACATCACAGTCTGACTTTCGAGTGCTGCAATATCAAATAGCTCAGTCAATTATCTTTTGGACCGCCCGGGACAGCTTCAGATGTGTCTGCCGGGAGTTTGGCTCACAAAGGATGACGTGACAACATGTGTCGATTGAAATAAAGAAAGAATACCAGAGTCCGCTCTCTGAGTTTGACCTTGGCCGTGACCTGAACAAACTGTAATGAGCTGTGAACTTCTGCCTCAGCTCAGTATTGTTGTGGTTTTCAGAGTGCTGAGAGCTGGTAAACAGGATATCCAGTCCCAGATGGGTTTGGCTCGCTCCACGAAAGCACCGAAGGCCGACAGCTCCGCACAAACCAAAGTCAGCCATCGAAAATGAAATGGAAAGGAGGGGACGAGTGGGTGACACCAGCGAGGTGGGAGGGGAGAATAAAGGAAGGGAAGGTGAGGATGTTTCTGCTCTCCCGAAATGCTCCTCGGGGGGGGGTGTCTGCTGGGAGGCCGGTCCTTGTCCTGCGTGACGTGGCACATGTTTGTAAGCTGGGCTGTGGGGTGGAGGTCTGTGGAGGTTTTGTTTGTTGCAACAGTTACTTAAAATGCCATTTGCTTAAAAATCCTCACATCTGCTTACCACGAAATTATAGTGAGTTAGGAACAATTTATGGAATTTTTACCTTTAACCACGAAATTACCCTTACATTAACCACACAGTAGTTGCCTTGTGCATATTTTGTAGACAGAAATACATTTATAACTACCGTGAATTGAAAGTGACAACAAAACATAATCAAAAAGAACCCTTGAACACAAAATTAAGAATAAAAGAGTATAGACAGACATCCTTTGCATTACAAAGAAATGTACCAGTCTTAAAAAAAAAAAAATGTCCCTTTATGCGCAGAAAGGCAAAGTCAAGTATCTAATTATGAACTACTTCAAATGTGTGGCTATTATTTTATTAGTGTCGGCCTATTAAGATGGATCACTATCATATTCTACTCTAATGTATAAATTATTAAATGCATTATCAAAAAAAAAATGTTATAGTGCTGTGTCTTTATATTTCAAGTCATTCTTTTCTGCAACTACTGCCAAAGAACAACATTGCAAATTTAGTATTTACTATACTTTTGGCACACCTAAACTCACCAATTAGAGGGGGGGATTAGAACCGACAACCTGCGGTTCACCATGTGGGTAACCACACTTTGCAGCGGTGTGGTATGACTGTGTTTAAGCAATAAAAAGGCAGACAAAGGTGAGACAAAAATGTAATCAGAGGAGGAATAAGAGGAGCCGGGAGAAGAAGACAGAGGTCAAAGGGGACGTCAGGAATCGCTTGTTATTATTTGATCCATCCTGCAGAGCTCCTGTTTATTCAACGCTGGGTACACATTTTATTTTAACTCTGAATGAAACAGTACGAACCTTGTATCAAATATATATGTGAAGGGGGGGGGGGGGTGATTTAAACAAATTCAAGTTTCAGGAGAAGGTGTGCAGTCGCCTATCAAGCAGCTGACCTCCTGTCGGAGCTTTGATCGGGGCCAGAAATCCCTGGGCGATGTGGTGCGTCTCACAGATTCCATCCAACATGCCCCCACTTATTTCCAACGCTGTTCTCTTGGAACAATGATGAAAAACCTGCCATCTCTAATGTCTTCATCTCTCCGGTTCCTCTGCGGCTGCAGCAATTAAAAGCATTTTCCTTGAAACGAGTGACAACGTGCCGCCGCCGATCGCTCGGCTCGGAGGTGACGAGTGAAGAGAACTCGGACGGACGGAGTGGAGTCTGTTCTCGGCTTAGCGGCCTCCCGCAGCGTCCCGGTCGGAGATGCCACCTCGTCGACACCAACACCAACAGAGAGGTCGGTGTGGAGATCTTTCTCTCACTCCGCCCCTCGCGTAGACGACATGCGATTAGCGATACCTGCTTAGCGTTAATAGTGGCAGGGGGGGCCATTGCAATTGATGTTGGTGGCTCTGTCCTATACGAGGGGGTCTAGATGGCAGGCATTAACCTCTGAGAAGGGCTGCATTGGGCTTTGACTTTGAGAGGTTCAGCAGTGTTTCTCCTACCTTTACAACTTAGTAGTCGGAACAGATCTTGGCAGAAGGGGTAAGAAATAAAGCGTGGAGCCCCTGTGATATAATGGTAGGGAAAGCTGTCATGTTGGGCATTGACCTTGAAAAGGTTCAAATTGGGCGATGACCTTGAAGGTAAAATGCTGGCTTTTGACCTCGAAGGTTAAGCCGTGACCGTAGGTCAGCCTGCAAAATACCAGGAGCCTAAAACTCTGGAATTCAGCTGTCATTTTATGATTTACATGTTTGTTATGTTTTAATCATCTTACTTTATTGTATCCCGCTGTTTGCTTCGGCGCTTCTGTTCCTGCTTTAACTATTGGAGACATTTCAAAACACATCCTTGTAAATGTAGGTCCGAAATTTTATGAAAAATGTTAATGTTATATATAAAGGAGAGATCCCCCCCCCCTCCCCCCGCTGTTGGTGGTGTGTCACAGCTGTTCAGCGCTAAGTCAACCTGGTTGGCGAGGAGCAGCGGACCGCGTGCCTCGGTGTCACCGCTTAATGGCGACGCATGCCGAGTACGAGGTCATGCAACCCACCAAAAAAAAAAAAAAAAAGGTGACATTGGTCCAAGCCGCCATCGCCTGCCAGACAGACGGCGCCAGGTAGCCCAGCTGGAGGCTGGAGGTGGAACCAAATTGACCCGAGCCGGGTGGCCAGGAGCTCTGCGCCCCATCAGTCGAGCTGCTGCTCGGGCCTCCGGCGAGCCGGGGAACCGCTCATGCTGCCAGTCGGTAGAAAAAACCTGCCGGCCGCTGAAAAGCTGCTCGAGCCGCATGACGTCATGTCCTGCTCAGTGGCGGGAGACGGCATCAGTGGAAGAAGTGTATACCCAAATCACTCATGTGCGAATGGTAAATGTACTAAAATGGTGTGGAAGAAATGTCTCTACTGCCAAATATTCTCGAAGTGCATGGTCACAGTAACTCTCTGTGACTGATATTATTTTTTACATTCTGGCTGTTTGTAGCCATTCACACAGTGCCCATGTCAAAAAGGCCTCAAGATGAATCAGAGGAGTCATTGGAGTATTCTTATTGTAACAGAGAAGAAAAGCTTCTGCCGTACATGTCATACAGCTACCTGGAAGTGTGAAAGGAGGCCAAAAAAGTAGAAACTGCAATTGGATTTGCAGTTTGTTTCATTCAGAGGGTCTTTTTTTTAGGCATAAATGTTCTAATTGTTGCACTTGGTCCAATAGCTTATGACATAGGATATAGGCACAGTACGATTATTCTCTGCCATGTAGGTGGGATTGATGCAGTGAAAAAAGAAGTGTTGCTCTTTGAGCAGCTCCACCTGCCCGTCTGCTCCACTGTGTTTGTGACTACAGTCTATTGTCCAACCTCATGCATCATCCCGGTGTTGTAAACGGGCAGCATGTCGCTTCGTTCCTTTTGAAGCAAATGAAAAGCGTGTGACCCCAGGCTGGAGGAAGTGCCCGTTCCCAATTCCAACAGAACACCAAACCACGAGATGTTTCGACATCCCGCTCTGGTTCGAGTGAAGGCCGAGAGTACAACAGAGATCCTGCATGTATCGGAATATTTCTTTGGATTTGAGTTTTTCTCCTTCAGTGTACAGATGTTGTTCACCTACTGCACACATCTCCAGCTGCTGCAATACTGAGGTCTCCGTAGTGGGGGAGCCCTGATTTGGTGAAAACAAAGTGAATTGATTGGAAAGAACTAACAGCTGGGAAATGCACTTACAGTTTGATGTAGTTATATGTAGCAACTTTTATCATTATCACATACTGTGATAATATAAAGTAATTTAAATAGCATCACTCCACTACAATGACTTCTTGTTAAAACTTGTTAAGTATTTTATGAATCAGTCACAGACACGTGAATGAAAATGAAAAGTGTAAATCCAAGCCTCTAGGGGCTTAAGGGGTTCTATTTAAACCGGATCCGATACGCATTTGGTTGCCGTCCTGAAGAGGACCTGATCCTGCGTATTGATGCGAGGCCGAAGGTCTACAAAATAAAACACTCGAGTGTCTTTCTGTGCGCACCAGCCGACGGGTGATCAGCTCTCGAAAGAAGGTAGAAAATGGGTGTCGGGGTCGCGTGTCTCTTACCTGTAATTGTCCCACTCCCTTCCAGCACCTTGACGCCCTCTCAAACCATCGGTGGGGCTGCTACTACAATCCAGTGGTGTGCCTGTGATGTGGAGACATTTTCGTCCTGGACTGGCGCAAAAAGAACAAACGAACAACGGGACCAACGGGAGTGGTGTCTCTATTTTGGGGGGATTCTTCTTCTCCTTCTTCAAAAATCAAACAGCCTTGTCAGAATGTCTTATTCGGGGTCGTTTGCATCTCATCCGCCGCACAGCAGAAATTCTCCTGCATCCAAACCGATGTTTATTCCGTTGGTCCAGAAAACAATACCCGGATAACGCGCTTTAATTGCGTCCCGCGGGTGCACCTTTTGGCAGCTGACAGTCCCACACGCGATCGCGGCGCACGCTCACGACGGATGTGATAATTTGTGATAAAAGTGGGATCGATCCCGACCGATCACTTGGTTCCGCGGTGTTTGCTTCGCCGCGTCTCTCTCCGGTCTGACAGCTGAGCTCTGCGCGCACTAACTTTTATGGAGACTCCGGAGCGCAGATCGCGGAGCGCGCCGCCGCCTCCTCCGCCGCTAACGCGTTACAGTATCCGGATTACCTGCAAGCACGTGGGTCAAATCATGTAGACGTCACTTGGACGTCGCATTGAATTGTCCGGGGAGACGGACGAGTTGCCTCGCAGAAGAAGAAAAAGATCACCTGCAGAAGAAGCTAGATTTAATCACCAACAATGATGTGATTTGATTTGGAAAAACACCAATTAATGTCACAATAAAACCAGCAACCAATGCATATGTATTATTCGTCAACGGCTCATTTGGAAAATTAGCAGAATAATGATAATGATAAACAGAATTATTCAGATGTTATTATTCAGAGAACACCAAGCAAAAGACTAATTAGAAAGTGTAACGCAAAAAAAGCAGCCAGGGCGCAATTAGTGAATTACTGCTTTGAAATGGCAATTAATAAGTCATCAATCACATTTGATTCATAATTAAGCTCAACGGCGATCTATTCCCACTAAGACACCACCAATTCCACCAAACGCAAGACAATCACTAAGGACTATAGTATCCAATCATTTGTGCCATCAACTGCAGCCACATTTAATCCTGTAAATGACCCTTTACAAGAGAAGCAGGTTTGATTAACAGCAGAAAGAAGCTTCTGCAAACAGCTCAGGTCTCATCGTGGAAACAGGTAAAGTACTGCCATCATGTGGACGTTTTACTTATTTCACCGAACCTCACCGACGTCCCTCCTGAAGAAACCGGAAGGAAGAATAAGGCGATTAATATTAAAGAACTAAAACAATACAGCTTGATCAAAAATGTTTATTCCATGGTGAAAACATTCCAGCCACACACACACACGCACACACCCGATTTTTCTTTTTACAAACAGCAAAACTCCACAGTATAACACAGTAAAGTGTCAGGTGAAAAAAAACAATAAGGAAATCATCAAAGTGACCAAAGCACAGAGGGATTGGCTTCTGTGGGTCATTCAAAAATAAAAGGGAACATTAAGAAAGTCTTTTCTGTCCATCGCTGCAAAAGCACAAGAACCGATGCCGTTCATGTTATTTTTCTTTTTACTTTAGGAAAATGGCATCCCAAGGCAATCTGGAGACATTTCACGCCTGTCTGCGCGGGGCGGATGCGAGCGAACGTCCACGCGCTCCCGATCAAACAGCGCTTGTTGGGGCTGCTCCTGAAAGGCATCGGCGGCTGTAGAAGTAGTAAGTAGTTCACGGAGTCCTTTTCCCCCCCTCAGAGTTCCTCAGCACTCCTCTTTGATGTAGATTTGTTCGTCCGTGTCGGACTCCAGGTGCTCCAGCCGGTCCGTCTGTCCGTTCATTATCTCGTCGGGGGTTTTCATGAACCTGGTGGACGAGAAACATATTATTCAAACTTCGGTTACGGATATGTCATGAATAGTGTGGGCGACTCTGTTTAGAAAGGCCACTTGGAGTGAACCTACCTGAATAGCAGTCTTTGTCCAGGCTCCTTCCTGATGATGTTCAGTTTGTAGTAGTGTCTCAGTGCTCGCGACATCTTCTCGTACGTCATGTTGGTCCGGTTCTTTAGGAGGCAAAAGGACACACGGGTCGTTACATAACGATAAGCTGGAAAACACATCCAACATCACCTAAGGTCCTGAGTTCTGATTTCAGAAAGAAACTTTTCTAACAACACAAAAAGAGTGGACAAAGTTTGTGACACGTGTGCCTATAGAAAGGTTTTTAATAAAGGTACCGAGGGGAAACGAAGATAAGAAAACAGTAGGTAAGCTATTTTACGTCTTTCTATAGAAGAATCTACATAATTCCCTACACATAAAGCGGAGATGGGAGGCAGAAATGAACAGGATAATAGCACAGAATACCTGAGAGGAAATGTGCACAGAGGCACACCTGGTTCCAAACACAATCAGGAGTAATCACTAGATTCTTCCGGAAATAGTAGCCAACACAGTCCAACTTGTGCTACCGGAACTGTGCTACACATGCTGCCAATCACACACATATATATTCTGACTAAACCCTAAATACAGTGCATGCTGGAGAAGTCTTTGCTGCCCTCAAAGAGATATTTCAACAGGACATCCAACAAGCACAGCACAGCAGCACTACTGGGAGCCATACCTGAAGGCCTGGATGGGACAGCCAGAAAATGCCTTCTAAACATACTGCTCACAGCAGCACCGAAAGGTCCAACTATCAGATTGTTACAACCAGTTCACCCGAAATACGATGTATGGGTCAAAAAAATCTCTATACACATGATACACTAGCCTCTTTGATAAAAACACAATACGAAACTCAGGAGTGGACAACCAATATTTCATCATCCCTTGATTTTATTCAATTTCATTATTTATCATGTCATTTAATCAAAATTTAATTCTTAGAAAAAATGTTTCATCCCCCTTTCTCTTGGAGTGACCACCATTTGATTGTTCCTTCTCTACACCTGAATATCATGTGTACCACAACTGAAAAATGGACAAAGAAAAGGTCCTAAGTTCTAAATGTTATCCACACACACACACACCTGAGCTGGGCGTGTGCATGTTCATGCACATGTGTAGTGCTACTTTGTCCAATCGTTTGATGCGTACTTCAAACTGTCCTACAGAGGAACGCGCCTGCAGTGTGACCATGGACGACAGCTGCTGCACATCTGGAGCCCAGCGAGTGCCTGTTTACCTTGTGATTTCCCCAGAGCCTGGCCAGGCCGTTGGGGTCCATGATGCGGAAGACTTTGCTTTCTGTATCCTCCCAGCGGATGTAGTTCTCGTACCTGCTGTCTGACAGGAGCTGGTAGACGTAGTCCCACAGCAGCCTGCAGTCTGCGAGGAAGCGACAGGGAAACACGGGCAGAGTTGGCACCATTGTTGCAAGATGCTCAAACAGTTCCAGAGGGACGGGGTAAGTAAGATGAGGCCTGCCGTCTCTGCGGTGGGACCAAAGCAACGGATGCGATGCCGCCGCTCTTAGCTTTGCCCCTTTAACCTTACGAGGGCTGTAAGTGTTTACCTGCGATCCGCCCGATGGGTATCTGTGGCTCTTCTGGAGGCGACACGGGCATGATGACGTGGTTCCTGTAGAGCGCCTCCTCCTGCTGCTGCTGCTGCTGCAGTAGATGCTGCTGTTGGGACAGGGGTATTTGATGGTGGTGGTGCCCGTGGATTTTACCCTCGCGGCCGTTTTCCAGCGTCCCCTGCGTAGTGGCCCCACCGCGGCCGTGCCGGAAGTCCATGGCGCCGCCCCCGGCGCTCCTGCTCGGGCTGAGGAGCAGCGGGTTCATGATGGCGCTGGGCATGAGCTGGATGACGCGAGGCGGGCCCGCGTCTTGGCCCCCGGGGCTCCCCGGGCAGGGGCCGTCTCGGGGCGTCCCGCAGCGGCCGTTGGGCGCCGCCGGGGACACCGACAGAGGGTACATTTCCTCGGGCGGGTGGTGGTTGCTGTCGGGCAGCTGGGGGAAGGCCTGGGTGTGGTCCTCGCCAGCGGTGCGCGGGTGGCTTGGATCCAGGGGGGATTGTCTGGCGGTCTGGTGGTGGGGGGAGCGGGAGCGGTGACGCAGCTCGATGGTGGGTGGATGCTGGGGCAGCGGCTCTGAACCACGCGGTGCTCGCCGTACCGTTTCTAGGGTTTCAAAAGATACAATATGGATACATCAATATCTCTGTGGTATTGTTAAACTACAGAAGTTTGCTGTTATGGTTATTGACTGCATTACATGCAAGGGATAAACAATGAGCTTTCTGTAAGTTATTATGAAAAACGGTAAGATGCCGTTTAAAATCCACCATAAATTTACAGCAATTCATTACAGCGCTGAGCGCTTAGTAAAGTATTTAAGACAGATAAAATAATTCAAAAGTGTGGCTATTATTTTTATCAATGATTTGATCTTCATCTTTCAATCCAATTTCCAAATGTGTAAATTATTAAATTTATAAAACCTTTTTTTAAATTGGCATAAAAAAAATATTTATACCATATAAACAACAAGGCAATTTGATTATTTTTTAGTAATCATAAAACACAATATGGGCTAATTTAGACTGTTCTCCATTAAAACAAAGATAACTTTTTTTAACTGTATGAATTTTCATAACATGCAATGGTTCCAGCTTCTAAAGACAAGAGGAGTTGTCTTTAGACAGGGGTATTTGATGGTGGTGGTGGTGGTGCCCGTGGATTTTACCCTCGCGGCCGTTTTCCAGCGTCTCATTCCAGCGTTTCATCTCGCTTTATATTAAACCAAATATTTTTGGACTGCTGTTTACTGTGTCGCCTGGTCTCTCTGTATTCGGTCTTCGCACAGAAGAAGACCACTAGGTGTCCCTGATACCCTGCACTTAGAACGAAGACGGTGACCTTAGGAGTTTCAGCAGAAGTTCTCTGGCTTTTGTCAGAAGTGGTTGGAATGTTGCTTTGATTCCTTTGGCCGCATGATACGTGGAAAGGGCGTTGAAACGCAGGAAGTCGGTAGTGAGACATACGGGCAGAGCTGCGTGGAGCCGGTGGAGCGGCTTTTACTGCCAACATGTGAACTCAACCAACCCATCTGAAATGAACCGATACTTCCTTGCGTAAAGCAAACAACACCTCTTTTTAAGCCTAACTTACTTCTAATGTAATTATCATGAATTCTCGGTAAATCTAAATCACAGTGTGAAGAAGCTTGCGCTTGCGGTTGTGAACAAATGTCATCCCGGTCACATGAGCGCGAGCGGACACACCAAGGACAGGTCGACTTCCTTCCTGCACCTCTCTATTACGTCCAATCGTTTTTATCCATCCATCCATTGTCAAACCGCTTATCCTGCACACAGGGTCGCGGGGGGGCTGGAGTCCATCCCAGCCAACTTCGGGCGATTTAAAGTCCCCAATTAACCTGATCCCCAGAGCATGTCTTTGGACTGTGGGAGGAAGCCGGAGAACCCGGAGAGAACCCACGCAGACACGGGGAGAACATGCAGACTCCACACAGAAAGGCCACTGGGCGGAATCGAACCCAGGACCTTCTTGCTGTGAGGCAACAGTGCTAACCACCACGCCACCGTGCCGCCCTCGCAGCCGCAGCCATTGTTTTTATCAGAAGACAATATTTTACCTTATAGAAAATGCCATCACCCTCAGCATCTGCTATTGTGATGTCGATGTAAATACTTCTTCATTGACAGTTGGACAAATGTATATTTAATAAATATATAAATAGCTGCTGCTGATTATTTATGGGCAATTCACATCATTAGAATCTGAACCAGAAACGGTTTATTACCAAGCATGTTTGCACATAGGATACAAAGAATATTGACTTGGTGATGGGTGCCTGACCGTGTTATTAAAGTACTAAAATATGATGCATTATTTGATATTTCCCCTTATTCATTTCCAACACAGCTCCTAGACGCAGATGAAATAGTCCCACGGATGCTGCAAGTAGTCGTCGATTGCTGAGGTTGTTCATAGCAACAAGACCCCGTCATGTTGGAGACGCTTAAGGAGGAGGAAAAGAACCAAGCGGGGGGGGGGCGACCTCCCTGCAGACTCTAGAGGTCAACCCACTTGTAGAACTCACCTTCCAGCTTCAGGTGCTGCGTGGCGCTCTCGGGCAGCGACTGGAAGGAGTTCCCGGGGAAGTAGGCCGACGGGTAGAACGCGTGGGGCTTCCTCTGCTTTAGGATGTGCTGCAGCAGCTCGTACAGGACGTCCCCTGCGTACACACAAGAGGTCAGAGGTTACCACCAGTAGCCTGCATTGGCGTCATCTGCAGAGACCGGTTCCCCTTCTTCTCCTTTCTTGTTTTCAAGGCAGCGGGGAGCTTGAGCAATAATGGAAGCTTCTCAGAGGGGAAAACTACGCGTAAGCGTGACGTTTGAGGACACGGCTCTGTGGCAACTCGAGAATTGTTATTAGAAAACAGCCTCTTCTGGATATTCCAACTCCTGATGTTTTGCCAGTCAGCGGCCAACGTGACCTGGGTGGTGACCGCGAGTAGACGGGCCGTAGCTCTATATGACCCCGGCGTGCTCGTACAGTAGTGGGGACACCGGGCAGGAAGCTCCACAATCATTAACAGCAGTTGGTTTGGCCTCAACGCCCACGATGGCGGCCCGCCGACACAAAACACATGCGTGGTTAAAAAATAACTGATTTGAACAAAGGCCACCAGCATGAGGGATTTTTTTTTTTTTTAAAGCCTTACCATAACAAGGAAATGATTCTCATAAAGGAAGTAATGGCGAGTGCAGGCACACACACACACACACACACACACACACACACACACACACACACACACACACACACTCACATACACACACACACACACACACACACACACACACACACACACACACACACACCCTTTCAGTTCTTACTTTCTGGTCCTGCGGTGTTGGGTTGCAGTTGGGTGGCGGGGTGGGGGGGGGAGTGTACGAGCTCCCACTTCCTGATGCTTTGATTCTGGATCTTATAAATGTGTGTTTTTAAAACGTCACGTGTGCCTGACAGTTAATCGGTGGCACTCGCAATGACAAAAGACTTCGAAGAAACAGGAGAAAGTGTCATCCGACAAAGCACACACACACACACACACACACACACACACACACCTTGATGGATTTAGGTCATTAAGAGGAGTTCAAGTCCAAACACGCAGTAGTAGCTCTGCAAACGGTGGCTCAGACGTGAGGTTAAGACATTCTGGAGGGGAGGGGGGTGTTGTTTGACAAAAGGAAAATATGGCACAAAGCAGGGGCTGATGGGAACTGCACTCTTCCAATCCCCTAAAAGGAGGAAACAGACATCACCAGCCAAACCATTTGCTCACTTCCCCAAAAGAACTTTCTCTACTCGACAACAGCGCCAAAACTAACCTGATATTAAAATGTGATCAATCGCCGTCGGGTTTATCTCTCCACTCCCGATGATTTAAAAAAAATGTAAATTGTAGCGTCCACGGTTGCTGATGCTCAAATCCATTTTCACAACAAGACAATGTCCGTGTCACATTGAGACGACTAATGACAAATAAGAATGCGACGATGAATCACGTTTCCCACATTTTCATCCCCCCCAAAACACAACAGGATGTGAACAATTTTGCAGAGTTGGAATGGGAACACAAGCCTGACAACAGCTGTCAGCTGGGCGTCACCTCGCTGTAGCTCCAGTTCATTCCTCTCAACGTGGCGCAAGACGCAAAGGGGACGCATCGGGTCTCTGGCTGGAGAACAAACAGGGCGACCTTTTCTCACCTCATTGGATCTAATCAGTGATCGGTAAAATGCTGAAATAAACTACTTTGTCAAATTGAATGAAAGAATTAGATACATAAATGAAAAGATTCGAAGGATAAGATGTCAGAAATTACATTTATTTCCCTGTTTATTTCAGCATTCATAGCACATTCATTTTGACTCCTCTATACACTCCCACTCTTTTCTGGATTTGAAGGGAGTCTTCTTTTCCAGGCCGTGCAATTTATCCTTCGCGTTATCTTAATATTTCACAAGGCTGATGGCTCATTTCATTCCACTCTTGTGTCCAACACAGCAGTGTGTTGCGTACAATTCCAAGGACGCACAATCAGACTTTGACTCCTGGTTCAAACACGGATCCAAAAGCCTGCAAAGGAAATCCGTCAACTTATTCTGCATTATTTTCAAGCGCCCGGCAGCTCGCGTTGCCGGGGAGACGGTTGAGGTTGGTTTACACTTCCTGATGAACCATCCGCTACTTCCTCCCCCAGCAGCCTCGCTGTAACGGCTGCCTCCCTCCACTGCCGCCTCGCCACCTCTGCGCTCCGTTGAATTCTAAAGGGCGCCGTTTAGCTGTAAACACGGTCATGTTTCAGCTACACCGGCACAGGTTGTCATGTAGAAATAAACTGTAATACTGGTTTAAACCACAAAGGGCAACAGCAGACTAAAGTACGGGTAACATTTTGTTGGGAGACACATGTGGGATCATGAATGTTTATTTATTTTATTATAGAAGAGTTTCTATGTAGAATTGCACGTATTTCCCTTCATTCTGCTTCAATGAGCTAAACCTGCTCTTCCTCCCTAGTTGGCAACTCCAGTCATGTCCAGTCGCTCCAGTTGGACAATAACAAACATCTAATGCGATCAATGAAACTGACTTATTCGCAAAAAGATTTTCACTGATGTCTCCGGTTTTCCCAGTCCAGATGAAACCACTATTATAACCACCGAGAAGGAGGAGGAAATGATGGCAAACGGGTACCGGAGTGGGGAGATCGATAGCGGAAGTCCTCCTTGGTGAGCAGCAGAAGGGCTTTGCCGTTCATTTGGAAAGAGCCGCTGGTGATCGGCCGCAGGGCGAACTCCTTCTCTGCCCACCTCAGCCACTGGGACACGTCCTCCCTGCTCCAGAAGACCGGCTGCAAACCTGGAGAGGGGAGATGATGGAGAAAAGGAAGTTGAGACCAGGTCTTGTTAAACGTGGGGGGGGGAGGGATGAAGGATGAGCTCAGCAGAGAAGGGTGCAGAAGGACAGGGGTTGGGGAGGGGGGAGGACGGAAGAAATGGAGGAAAGGCAGGAAGGAGGGGAGGGGGGGGGGGGGGGTGAAGGAAGGAGGCAGAGGCAGTAAAAAGGATATTGAGGAAGTGGAGATAAAAGCCAAAAAGGAGGGAGGGATTATGGGAACGGCAGCAGAGATAAAGAAGAAAAAAAGAGTAGACAGATTCAGGAGGAGGGAGGCATAAAAGATTTGAAGAGGATGGTTTAAAGGAAAGAAAACGCAAGGGGGGATATGAGAAAGAGTGTGAGAGTTATTTAATTTGATCGGTTATGCGATGCAGTCAGGCATCACAGGACAGCCCGTTTATTAGCTTGTGTATAAATGGACACATGGGGGGGGCAGCAGAGATCCTATCTTTTGGGTTTCTCTCCCTCGCACTCTTAACTTTGTCTGTCATTGCTGTGGAAACAGGAGTGTAAAACATCGGCACGATCATTTAGTCACTGTGAAAATACAAATGAGGGGGGGGGGGGGGGGGGGTGTTGTGCAGAATGGTTGTGAAAGCAGAAATATTTGTTTTGGAAATGGATGGTTATTTTCCAGAGAAATCCAGTCGAAGTCGGAAATGGCCATTACATTTTCTTTCATTGTTTTGTGATGGTGAAGGGCTAAAGCTAAAACCAGCCAAACAAGTATTTAGCTCGTTTTGCAGCCACTGTCCTCATGCTAACCCCGACAAGACAAGGTAACCGCCAGGGAAAAGATGCTCAAGAGAACAGTCTGCACTGCGGTGCCTTGAAATACGAAAATGTAGCATTTGATTTTTGGCGCAAACAAATGCCTGAGCTAGCTAGCTAGCTGACCGGCCACGTCAAATTCTAAATAGGCTACCAACAAACAGTTATTACATTTTAGTTTCCTACTCATGGACTTCCTTAGTCTTACCTGACAGCCAACGCTAATATGGAAGTGCATAAAATGCTCTTTTGATTTCATTCTAATGCCAGAGCACTAGGCTTCATCATTTTGGGGGGGGTTGGAGGATAGCTTAAAAAAAATCCATTCCTTTTTAAATGTAGTCATCATCCGACGGCTCAAATCATTCTGCGCATTAGTGGGACAGGATTTTAGCTCGGTGCAGCAACAATACCCACATAAATGAAATTATATTGACCCGGTTTGTCCGGTATTATGTTTGCTGGAACAGAAGCTCATTTCCTACAAACTGTCATTTCATGCCGGTACGCCTCTCGTACGTGTGTGTGTGTGTGTGTGTCTGTCTGTCTGTCTCCATGAAAGATAAACTGTAGAGTGTTCAAACCTTCCTGCTTGGGGAAAACTTGAAAAAGACAGGAATTTCCACCAAGCGTTTCTCTACTACCATTGCAGGCTCCTGTCCTGAAGTGGTGTAATGTGTGCTCATGTTAACCTCCAAATTTGTAATCCTGTCAATGATCCTGATTCGTACCAAAGATATCTGTAATCTCACCGTGATATTTTCCAACACAACATCATTTATATATTATTCTGATAGATGTCGCTACTAAATTGCATCATTTTACAGTCTTGGTATAATAAGATTTACAGTACGACTCACCTGCCTCTCCTCCACACATACACATACACATGCACATGCACACGCACAACTCGCAGTGTGAAGCTCCGATCACAATATCTGCGACACCCACACGGCGCATGACTAGTCGTTTCTTACATCTCACTTATCGCGCGGCCTCAAACACTTCCTCTGGGAGTCGGACAGCCGTTATCTTGGGCCGCCAATGTCACTGTCAGACAAGTAATAGGAACCGTGTGCGCTCTGTCAGGCTCCCAACGGACGCGTCAAACAGAGGAGGTTTTCACACAGAGCGATCGATACAAAATGAAACCCTGTCTAGATCGTCAGATTCCCGCTCCTGACCCTCCCCTCCTCTACACAGTCACAGTTATCGCTGATAGGTCCGGGAAGGCGCCGGTTATCTGAAGCACGGCACATGGCCCGTCGAGCTCGGACCCTCATCATTGTCAACAGAGCTGCTCAGAAGGTGTCAGGGGGCGAGCGGCAGGTGTTTCTCAACAACAGGAGCGAGCAGCGGGTACATAAGGAACCGTACTTCCCCTGGGATCGGCTTCTTGGCCACGGTATAAGCTAGTAGCATGTTTACGATGCTTTGTGGGAATCATGTTGATGTATGATCTCGGCAGTATAGTTAACTTTAAATCAAGCATGGAAGAAAAGCCAGCGGTAAAACCACATGTTGAAATATTCCTGAGAAAACAAATACATTTATGCTAAATTTGTCTGTACTCTATAACAAGGATGGATCTATACTGGAATACTCCTAAACTCCTCCTGTTGACTTTCTATCTACGAGGAACCGCGCTGCCATCTGCACTGCGTGCACCGGCCCTGCGCTGGTCTCGGGCGGCTGACTCGTGAGAGCGGCGAAGGCCGGGGGGCAGCCAGCAGGAGGGAAGCCCGGGTCGCGGGGTCACGGCTGCGGTGTGCGCTCTGCAGAGAGGTGCTGTTCTGCCAAAAGCCCTCCGAGATCCGGTCCGCCGGCCTCAGCCATCTGCACGGAGCTCGAAGGAGGAAACGACAAGGGGGAGCAGGAGGAGGAAGGGGGGGGGGCCCAAACAAACGTGTCCCACAACGCACTTTGGCAGGAAGCGATCCAGCGTGGGCTCCGCTTTAGAACAGGAAACTTCCTGCGGTAAGGTTAGAGAGCGACGCCGGCAGCCTTATTAACAGAGACGAGAAAAGTGAAGAGTGGAAACGGAAAGGAAAGTGTTGAGCGCGGCAGAGCACCGAGCAAAAGACAAAAAAAAAAAAGAGGAAGGAAAGTCAAGCGAATGCTTGGCTGAGCGGGAGGTTCCCGAGCCGCCCCAAATTCTCGCTCGTTTGAAACTCTTGCGCGCTCTGCGTTGCTATTCTGGGACGCGCGTTGTTCGGAGTCGACGTATATATATCCACGTATCGCCTCTGGCGGCGTACTTCCACCGCCGCACCGCTCGCCCGCATCCTGCGCTGTCACTCCTTTTGCCACCAACGCGGCAGCTGTTCGTATCCGACTCCACTCCCAGCATGCACCTGTGAGCTGTGTTGTCGCTCCCTGCTGTGCGGAGCTTTGTGCTTCCTTAGTGACGAGAGGAGGTTCAGGATCCTTCGGAATGGTATAAATACGACTAGTTAGCCGGGTCAAAAAGGGAATGTCAGATGATATTTAACCGCTTACTCTTACGTCACACAAAGGTGAATTTAAAGTGAGCCACAAAACGTCACCTTTTTTTGCCAAAGACAACACAACATCTAGGTGCATCTCAGGGATTCATTGCGGTTGATCTTAGAGTCTCGTCTACGTGGGGACAAACCTCAGGTCCGTGCGACAGAGACAGAAAGTGATGGACGGAAAACCTTCTTGTCTGTGTGAGACAAAAATATCCTTTGCTTACTTAGAGGCGGGAAGGAAAATGAGTGTGAGAGGAGAACAGAGCGCGCTGTGGTCCCTGACACCTTGTTCCCTCAACACTGTCACACACTTCCTCCCCCTGTCATACTCCGTTCCAGACGCGCCGAAGGTTACAGGAAGAAAAATCAATTTCAGTCTTCCTTGTCATCAGCCTTTTGTTGAACGCATCAAAGACTCGCCGTGTTCATGGGAGTGAACGCGTGTGCGCTCATGTGTTCATGTGTATTTACATTGAATAAAACCCTCAAGCAGTAGAATCCCGACCCCTCGACTAAACCGTGGGCTCCTAATCCGCTCTGATGACACATCATTTTCACTTTGTGCTTTCGCACGCGCACACACGCACACACCGCCACAAGTTGCCAGGGCAACTCGGAAGCGCTCGGGATGAATGAAGAGGAGGATGAGATCACTGGTATCTTGTTTCGTTGTTGTGGTACGGAAGCCCCCCCCACCCTCCTCCCCCCAGCCAGACAAGGTAATGAGGCCCGTCCGGCTGCTGGGCGCAGAGACGTCCCGTCCACGCTTTGAAAGACAAAGGGTGACGTGCAAGAGGGAGCGCGTCCCATTTAGAAAAGGGCCACAGGTATGCTTACAGACGTGCCCCATCGGATCATTTAGCCACCAATCTGATTGATATTTACGTGGCTTTGCCTGCGAGCTAACGTGACCTCAGAGAAACAATCTGTAAAACATTGTAGTTGGTGAAATCTGTTGGCGGCAGTGTTCGGGAAACGTGCCACATTCTTGCCAATGCAAATATAAAGACAACCAAGATCCTTTTCTTTTGGCGGGTGCTCAAATGAAATCAGACCAGCGATGTAGTGAAAGAAGGGGAGGAAGGCCAGCAGGAGGGAGGTGGACGGGTCACACAGAACAGGAATATCAACCTTCCAAAAAAAAGGTACCCGAGCAGACCCGTCAACATTACATCAGCCTCTCCGTGTTTGGGTGGTGAAGCTGGAGAAACGCGTCCGTTTAGACTGCGATGTGCATCCCCAGCTTTACTTCTGTGGACCTACAGGTTCTACAGACCCACAGAGGGCTGTTTTTAACCAGCTTGTTCAGACAACATTTCAGTGGCACTGGTTGAAGACTGAAGCCAAACGCCACCAGCGCAAAGATCTGGTATTCGGTTAGAAAATGGAGGACGTTAATTGAACTTGTATTTACGACACCAAATTTCATGTGTAGTCATCTCCAGTGTTGAGATTTTCTATTGGCTTCCTCCTTGAGTCATACTCAAATCTGATACTCAAATATTGTTAAACTCGTGACTTTCAACACACATCAAAAGATAAACACGTAAATTGGAGGATAGTAGCTCAGGCTAAATGAACTATAACTAGATAAACAAAAGTGCAGCGTTGTGTCGGTTCGGCTGGGACTTTGCTCTCAAAAGCACTTTGGTCACTCAGTTCTTCAGTAAATGTTTGCCTATTCTCCCGAAGCAGAAGTAGGCGGATATTGGTTTTGCTATCTCAATAGAGAAAAGGTTTTTCTTTCTCCAGACAGAGGAAGGAGGAGGAGGAGGAGGAGGAGGGCTGACCGTGACCTTGTTACACCCTGATTGAGGGACATGTGGGTAGAGAACTACACGTTTCCGCGTTCAATGCCGGCGCTTTTCATCTCCCCCTCGCCGCTTCGTGCGTCTCTGCACACTGAAACCACGTCATGTGGGAGCGGCGGGGGTGGAGGGGGGGGGGGAATCCTCCCCCCCACACACACACATTTACTAGAGACAAATCCCGCCCATTCTCATATATTCATCCTCCACTTCCTCCACCGACATGCGAGTGCCCGGCCCCTTCCAGCAGGCTTGGACTCCTTCCAGTCAAAACAAACATAAAACGGAGCATCAATCACACGGAGCCTTTGTGGTTCGGAAGTAGCGCGACCTGTTCTATGATAGCTTGTTGTTGAGCGAAGGAGCAAGCCAGCTCTTGTAGGTTTGTTCCTGAATTCAGCGTCAACTGCCACTCTTTCTTCTGTTCGCCAGCCCTTTTTTTTCTTTGATTTTTTTTTTTTGGGGGGGGGGGGGGGGGGGGGGTGTAGGAGCTTCAAAAGATGTTTGTTCTAATAAAAAGGCCCCTGCATGTCTGACACCACACACACACACACGCACACACGCACACACACACACACTTTCCATGTGGGGAAATTTAAGTAATCATCTCGACTGCAAAGCTTCCATGTCGGTGTTTCAGAACCTTTTGGGTCCAAGACAATGTCTACTCGTGGTCTCATCCCAGAATGCAATGTACAACCTTTACTGAGGTCAGTGAAACCACTTCTCCCAGTGAACCATATTCACAAACAGCATCGAAATCAGTTTCCATTTAACCCTTTTGACGGCTCCACACATTGTGCCACTGATTCATGTAATTTATTTCCATATGTTCACATTGCAGAGCTTTCAACAGCGGTTGAAGTGGAAATCATGAACCTTATCTCAGAACATTTCCTCTATCTTTCTGAGAAAGTCAGATACTTTTTGGGGACTTTTTTTTCCAGAATCATCCCTCTAATCAAAAGGGAACTCTACCGATTTAACAGGCCAAAAAGAGAAATTCACTTAAGCTCATTGAGGAAACGTATAGGGGGGGGGTTTGACTATGGGAAGTGCAGAACCCATTTGGTTTTGGATAATATACCATAGTAGGCCATAGAAGTCGGTATAGCTCAGCCCAGACAGTTTTAGGGTGGAGCAGTTTCCTCACATATCCCAAAAAAGTGCAATTTTACATTTCCAGAATGCCGCTTTGAAACAGTTTGCCTCTTGATAAAGTTTCTGTTGCCGAGCGGCTAATTCTTAATACTCAGCATCTCTTATTTCCCTCCCTATTCCACATTAATACCAACCACTCTAGCGGACGTTCCCATGGAGAACATGTAGATTTCATTATTTGGATATTTATCAAGGGGATGAGCATTAGTGGGGTTTTTATTATTGTGACATTTAGAGTAAAGAAACGCCCCCCCACGCAGAAACACCATGTGGAGTGTGTTGTGGGCAGGAAGAGAGAAGGGGGCTGCGCTCCGCTTACTTGCTGGCATGTGAGAACGGTTTCCCTTTCAGAAGGGAGCAAGTTTAAAACACACGCACTCGCACACACACACACAACAAAAACAACAACATTTATTCAGGAAGCGCCGTCTGCCCACTCAGGAAATTCCTGAGGACAAGAGCTGCTTCCAGGGGCAGGAAATTTCCCCACTGAAAGACCAAACACACACACGCAACATGCCATTTTTTTCTTTTTCGTTGCATGCACACACACACACACACACACACACACACACACACACACACACACATTCTTTATGACACCAATTGGCCCGCACAGTAAAATGGGTAATATACAACAAAGCGGCAGAGAGAGACCAAAGGATGTCGTAGGGAGAGGGGCTGCAGTCATGTACGGTAACACACACACACACACACACACACACACACACTCCACCCACTTGCACAATCATAGTGCAAAGCCAGCTGTGAGCACCCACGCACACACGCACCAAGGAAACCAGCCTGTCTTGTTTCCATGGACATGGATCTTTTAAATCATCCAGTGAGATATCCCTGCTCTTGCAGCCGCTCTCCTCGTGCGTGCTTTTTGTTAGATAACACACTGGAAGGCCTTGTGTTTTGGAACCTTAAATAATTCAGTGTCTTCCCACTGACTGGCTGTCGCGTTGCGTCACGCTCAGAGTACGTGGGAGCCGCGTCCAGCGATGGCGCCCGGATTGCGATGGAATGAATTCAATGCGGCTCCGGAAGGTTAACGCCAGCACAGCGCCGTTGTGCGTGGTGGCGGGAATCCCTCCCGGGCGTATTTGACACACAAACAAAAAACACTGCGGGTGGTTGACAGCGCTCCCCCGCTCGGGAATGAGCTTAAACCAGTTTAAGTTATTACTTGCTCAGCCTCAGTCAGTCCGGACGACTAGAAATTAGCCTCTGCTGCAACACGGCGCTAAACTAGCAGATTATATTGTTATTATTATTATAGTATGTATAGTATTGAGCAATATTAATCAGGTTTGGCTCTTAAGCAAACTAGTCCACACAGATATATCCAGCCGTGAATGATACTCTGTGGTAGTTTAAAATAAAATGAGAAAACAATCAAATGAACGGATTGATACCTCCCATGTCTGCATGCTAAATATGACACTGGAATTGGAAACACATGTTCCGCCACAACTAGCCGGTCACGTGCTGGACGGTTTCCCGGTTGGGTATTTTCTACGGGCGACACAGTTGAATACAAACCAGCTGAACGGACCAGTTCCATCCAAAGTGATCACAAGCGGGTTCAATCTGAAGTTATTGTCTCAAAGTAATTATTTCCCGACAGACAGATGTTTTTTACGCGGTTATGCTGTTGGTTTGTAGTTCCTCACTTCTTGACTCATTATAGAATTATATAGAGATCGTAAATGTGATTTAGGTTGCTCTTTGACATTAGTTCACATCTTATCCACTCTGTTAACTAGATACACGCTACTACCTACAGAATGTACTTACATTACACTGTAATACACTGTTTTTGTTTCTAATGAACCTTTGCATCCATTTCCGTCAATATCTACAATTACAAACAGGACAGTTTTAGTGCGTGAATTAAAAGCGAGGTAATAAAATATATCGTAGGGACATTTAGACTATTAGAAACACATGGTGAGGTTTGTGTATTACAGCGTAATGTCGGGCTGAAAGGGTTCAGATAGAGTCTGGCAGCATTCTTCAGTGTGAGGAGCAGGCGGCTACTCTCCCCGATCTAATCCACTTCCTCCCCAGGAAATGGGGAAGGCGGATTTCTGCCCACACTGCAATTTCCTCCCTCATTCTTTTTCTTTCTGCCCCCCCCCCCCCCCCCCCTTTCCCCCCTCCAGAACAGAACTCCCTCACAGTGTGTGTGTGGGGTGTGTGGGGGGGTCGATGGGCAGTTTGTTTTCCAGCTAATGCACGCTCACATACGCAGGAGGAGAAAGGAACGAGCAGAAGGTGTTTAAGACTCGGGAGTCCCGACCAGCCGCAGCCATAAACTAAACACTGAGGGGGGGGGGGGGGGTGGAGTAGGGGACGGGTGCGCAGGGGAGGACAGGGGGGGGGCCTGACATTTTCCTGAACCGCAGATGTGCGAGAGTCCTGCCTGTGTGAGGAACCACGCTGGCGGGCCGACTCAAAACAAAGAAGGACTTCCACATGTCTGCGGATGTGAGCTGACCACTCGGTTCACTCGACAGGAAACTCGACGCGGACCTGTTGAGCGCTCTTCCTTTTTCTGCAACAATGCAGAAGAGGAAGTGAGCCGAGGGAGTTTCCTGCGTCGTCGCATCGAGACCCAACCTGCGCAGGCCCCCACAAAAAGGCCCTGAACTTCACACTTGCTCCAAGTAGACAAATAAATAAACCGGTTAAACATTAACGGACAACAGCGGCCGTGGGTTACACTTCGTCTGTTGGCACGGCGCCGGTCCCGCCCACTCTGCGATTGGTTAAGAGACAGAACAGAGGTTGACCTGTTGTTATTATTGTGATACATGATATTTATCCCCATCAGCGGGTCGCCTTTCAGTCTATTGCCACTTTGTCCCAATTCTGCCGTCGGTGTCAGGCAGAAGTCCAACAAGGTCTTGGTCCCCTTTACCGCCAGTCCTCCTCCTCCTCCTCCTCTTCTTCTTCTTCTCCTGCCCCAGCAGGACTCTTGCAGTACGTAATATTTGGGTCCCGCAAAGTAATGCGTGCGATAAGGTGTAGTCGTAAGCTTTATCTAAGCTTTATCTTGGAAACCATTTGATGTATTCACGTTGCCCGATAACTGTTTGTTACTCTGGGACAGCGGCGTTTGCAGAAGAAGAGGCCACGGAGCGCCGACCCACGCGGTTTGATTGACGGGGGATTTTCTGGGACGAGACAAACGAAAATCTCACTTCCCCAATTACAACTTCAACCAAATGCAAACATAAAACACCACAATATGCAAGAAAAGGGACAACAACAAAAAAAACTCTTCTCTTTGAGTGTGAGTGTGTGTGTGTGTGTGTGAGGGAGTGAGAGAGTTACTGAGTGAGTGAGTGTGACTCACGCAGGTGCGCGGGCAGCCTGGCGGGCTCGTCCTCCATTCGGCTGGCCGGCCTCGCGGCGGGAGCATGGACGGGGGAGGAAGTGGAGTTTGGCAGCGGGTTGGCGGAAGGACTGAAAGAGCTCCTCTCCTGCTATGAATAGACACAGAGACACAAAGCAATGGCTCACAAAGCTCCACGACACGCCGGCCCTGAACCCAAACGGCCCCCCGGCCCCACTCGATCTCTACATGCACGTCTTAGTTTGGAGAGCGACGGTTAACGCCGGCCCCCGATGTTGCATTACACATGAAATAAGTGATCCCAGTCCATGTCCACCCAGGGAGGAGTAGAGCATGTTTATTTATATAATTGCATGTGGGGAAGACAACGCCGTCCACACCCAGCGACGCTGTAACCAATTAATCGCATCGACAGATATGCACATTTTCCTCGATCATTCAATTGAAGATGGTAAATATCGCCACGTAACTTCTTGGGAGTTCGACAAAATGACTTGAAACATCTTTCAATGTGACGGAAACACAAGTGATGCTCTTTTTGGTCCAATATCAAACTTTTGGGGGGGGGGGGTCGTCGGACAAAAAAAAAAATTATTCACTCTTCTCTGGCACTTTATACAGATGTAGAACATAAACGAAACGTCTGCACGGGACAAAGAACAGAGACTTAGACCATCAACCCAAATGTTTTTCTGTGACTTCAGATTTTTTTTTAGGTTAGATCAGTCATCCTTCCCCTAAAAAGTGAAAAGGCCCAACAGTTCCTGTCCCAGTGGCGGGTCCTTCTGAGGACCGCTTTCCTTTTCCTGCAAAAAAGGAGCGCAGGGCATGAAGCCCCTTTAGTTTCAGCCGTCTGCCCCAAACCGGCCCCTCAGAGTCCTGCACCCACCAGGAAGTTCCTTTGGAAGCAAAGTAATAATATTGCAGGCTTCCATTTCCTCCCCTCGGAGACGGGGGCTTCTCTCGCTATCTCTCATCCTCCGCTCTGCGGATTCAGGGAGAAACTTCTCAGAGTGGAGTGCTGATCGCAGGAAAACCTCTCTGGTTCACATAAGGCCATAAAACAGATCGCATGGAGGCTTCAAATACTGTTTCTAGAAAAGTTCTAGCAGGGCTTAAATCCACAACTAACCTGTCAAAAGATGGATCAACAACCTGTCAATGCAATAGTAAAAAACATGGAAATAAAAGCTTCAATCACAGCTTCCTCTTCTTGTGGTTGCTATTCTAGATTATTTTCATTACCGATTGATGATGATGATCATTTAGATTACAACAAGTCAAAGAGAAGTGCGCACCAGGACCACAAAGTGTCCTTAAACTCTTGACACAGTCGTCATCAATCAGCAGCCACAAAAAGGCCAAAACGTGGTGTGTAAAACAAATAAAAGCAGCACATCAAACGTGGTGGATTGAGCCAAACGTTTGATGAGAATTCATGTTTATGAATCAATTAAACCGACATGTGGCCATTCATTTTCTAACCGTCCGCTAACGAGAGGAAGACCTTCCGTCTGACGTGTTGACCGTGAGTGCGTGTGTGTGTGCGCGCAAACACTCGGGTCAATGAGAGCATCCCCCATTCGCGTGGCGAAGTCAGTTTAGCGGCTCCGCTTCACATCGCATCCTCTCCCCGCCGGCGTGGAGCCGCGAGCAACAGATGACGAGCAAAACGAGCGCACCCCGGCCGAATGGCGCTGCAGCTGCGCGTCTTTTCGGAGGTGCTTATGCACCACGGCTCCTACCGGGAGGGGAGAGTGTCTGAAGCCCCCCGAAGGGAAAGTGGTGATGGGGGGGGAGCGAAAGGGGAGCGCGTTACCTTGTTCGCAGCGGAGGAGGATTCGGACATTATCCGCCGTCAACTTCTTCTCCTTCCACTTCTCCCGTGTGTCCTCCTCTTTATCTCCGCGTCCTCCCGAGAGGAACCCGCTCGGCAGCAGCGGCCGCTCGCCTCGTTGTTGTGGGACAAGTTTAGTTTATTTTCTTTTCACATTGCCTGCTGTTTGTCGTCCCTTTGCCTCTTCTCTCGCTATCTGCTGACCGGCTCCATAGCGCGGCTGTCGGTGTGAAAACTTCTTTTGTCTGCGTGTGTTTTCCCTTCATGTGTCGGCAGCGTGCTGGTTAATAATCCCTTCCTGGAAGAGCAGTCTCTCTCTCTCTCTCTCTCTCTCTCTCTCTCCCCCTCCCTGCCTCTCTCCCCCCTCTCTCTCTCTCCCCCCTCCCTGCCCCTCTCTCTCTCTCTCTCTCTCTCCCCCCCCCCCCTCCCTGCCTCTCTCTCTCTCTCTCTCTCTCTCTCTCTCTCTCTCTCTCTCTCTCTCTCTCTCTCTCTGTCTCGCCCTCATTGATCTGGATGTGTGTAAAACGGCGAAATGACGTGAATTCCCGGCATTGAGCCTTGCCCCCTTTTAAAGGAAACCCGAAGCAGGTCGCCGCTGCAGACGCGGCTGACCCTTTTTATTGAGATATGCATTTCTAAAAATAAAAAGTTGACGTTGATGCCGTTCACTCCATCGGCTTAAATGACGCGGAGCAAAAAAAGAAACTGCAAAAAAGTGTAAAGCAATCAGGAAGGGTATGAGGGAATGTGTGATGTAGGGACTCCACGCGAAACTAATTATTTCATACTAATTAATGCGCTTCTTTCGTAATGTTAAATATTGCATGACGCTTATTATTCACAAAGCTGAAGTCAATCATTGACTTCCACTCAGGAATTGCAGTGCAAAAACTGTGATTTATAATGCATAGGCAAGCAATACTGCGTGGGAAAGAAATTAATATTATAACATGTTACATGTTTTTTTTAGCATGTAGGACAATATGGAATATATTCGCTTCGTTAGAATGTATGTTGTCATGGTGATTCCAGAAATCATTCTGCTGCATCAAGTAAATATATTTTTCTTGTGATTTATGAGCTGAGTGGGGGGGTTTAGATGAGGTGGTTCGTCAATGAGGACCAGGGACCAGCTGGTCCTACATTGTCCACGTTAGTATGTATTATGGAACTCAAATAGTAATCTGAGTATTTGGATCATTAGGCTGCAGCGGCGGACACATCGTTGTATTAACAATGGATTCAATTACTAATGTGGTTGGAGAGAGTTGTACCAAAACAGAGCTACAATGATAAGTTGATATGAAGTAGAATCAGAAACATAACTTAAATGTTAAATTAACATGTTTTTGTTGTTCTGTTTGTGGATGTGTAAATAAGCAAATGCAATTATTAGGCACTTGACAATGTATCGATGTCAAAAGTTTGAAAACAGCTTGTTCCGCTGCCCCCATGTGGTCGGAAAAACAGTAAATACGGTTTGAAATAGATCAATGTTGCACAGTATTTCATTAGGACAGAATCGATTTGGTGAACTGAAGCCCCCCCTCCTCACAGGCCCAAATGAACTAACCGAACATATGATGGGGGAGAAATTGAAGGATGTCACACCACCAATGAGCTTCCAGTAAAAGCTTCAGTGATCTTTGGCACAGATTGTCTCTCAAACTCCTCTGTTGCATGTGAAGATCTCTATTCGTACAAAGGTCACTCCCTCATTTTGTGTTTCGATGATGATGAAATTGTTTCTCAAATCTCCTGCAGTGGTTTGACTCAAGTAGAGATCTGGTGACTACATGTGATGTACATTATTGTTGTTATCCGTTCCACAGCGAGCCTGCGGGTCCTATTTAACAGGGAGAAAGAATGGTCTTGTTCTTCTAGAGAGCTGAAGCTTCTGAGTGGCAATTGTAATCCCACCGTAAACACTTACACATTAAACTGTCAACAACGGCAAAAACGCAAGGGAACAGTCAGTATAATGCAAAGTATTGAATACAGATTATTAAATCATGCGTTGCGTTTTCTTATTCAATCCCCTAACGTAAATCAAATGCAACTATTTAAAACCCGCCCTCAATGCAAGGAGGTGTCACGTGACCCAGATGACGCGCATTTACAAAGCTCTAAAACAATATGTATCACGTTCATACACGTTCACGTCATGCCCTATACCTAATACGCCAGTGAGCTTGTTTTACATAACACGACGACGCCCCCCGGCGGAGGAGAGCAGCGTTACAGCAGAGCTGCGGCTAAGTTTCGGTTTCCAGTCTTCGGAAACGACACCGTACTTCCTGGACAAAGGCAGGCGGTGTCAGCCTCCTTGCCTTAGACGGCCGAAGGACACAGGGAACGAAGCAGGCCCGAGACCATGGACTCCGAAATACTGAAGTTCATCTGCGACAATCAAGGAGCAGTCGACACTAGTTATTTGACGTGTAATCTCGGCTCGGGCGAAGCTATCAATGACGTCATCAGCAACCAGGAGAAATTCGCTATGTGTTGTCCCTTCGGGCAGCAGAAGGTGGTGGCCAGGACCGAGCTGAAGATGTGCAAAGTCCGAGATTGCGATGGCTTCTTGTGCGGGCTTCACCTGTGTAAAAGGTTCCTCTTCACCGGATCCTGTCTGGCCAATCATGGCAGGTAAAGAGTTCCCTTCAAGTACGAGGCTTAACGTGAACAAGGGAGGCCCGTGACTACTTCAAATATATCTCAGTTCTACTTTTTAAAAAGGTCTTTATTGTGGAAATCCGATTAATCACCATCTTTTGTGTAAAAATATGTGAATAGAACTATTCAGTGCAGAAGGAGGCCGCGAGGCCGGAGTTGCGTTTCGGTGCGTTTATTGACTTGTTTTGAACGACACACGTGATGCGTTCAAGCACCGTAGATTTGCAGGTTTCCGCGAGAGCCGCTGTCATAAAGACCAGCGCGGAGTTTAGTTCGACACAATGAAGTGTGTGATGCAACTTAAAAGTTAAAACGATGCTATCTGAGTAATAGTCAGACTATTTGTTTAACCCCAATTTACAATTTTGCTTATTAACCTCTGGTCCAGAGTTAAATGAGTATACAGATACTAGGGAGGACATCTTCCTTCACGATGGGAGTCTGTGTGTGTCACCATTGGTGTGTGGCCCTGGTCCCCCTACTTTGTGTTTTTTTTGCATACACAAGCATGTGGAATAATTATGTGGAGGGTCCATCATAGTATCTTCAGATAAAATATTAAGCTCAGCATATTTCACAGGGACCAATGTCAGGTAATGCTCCCACACGATCATTTTTATATCACACCAATACACTGTCTCTCTTATTATATTACTTTTTATTTACGGATAGACAGACAGCTTCATTTTCGGCGTTTGGAACAGGCGACGTGTTTTTGAGATCAAACCCACTCATGTGCCATGGGTCTTTTGTGTTCTTTGATGACAGGTTGGCATTCAAATTCTCCCATCAGCTGGACTCTGATCACAATATGCGGATGCTGAAGTTGCATGAGCTGGAGAGTCTCAACCTGACTCAGCTGCGCACGCTGCTGCTGCAGAATGACAACTGGCTCCTGCCTTCCGTAAGTTTGACCTCAACCACAGCAGGTTTTCTAATTCACATTGTTGCATCTGATGCGTCCGTGCACAGAAGGGGACACAGATTCTGAAGACAGGATTGCTAGAGATCCTAGTGTCCTCTGAAGTAGCAGAAGTTGAATGACTTCATCCACACGTCTGTCAATCATCCCCCTTTGCTTACTCTCGATTGTAACCACCTCGTCTCCTCTAACCAGATATGCCACAATTACAACAATGGCGACGGGGAGTTCGGACGGTGTGGGGATGGCCTTGGCTGCAAGAGAATGCACATCTGCGAGAAGTACATGAACCGCGACTGCAGCTGTGTCAAGAACCATGATTTTAATGCTCCCCAGCCACACAAGAACCTGGAGGAGAGAGGCGTACCTGACGACCTCATTCCCTCTCTGAGGTCAGTTTATGGGAATATATTGGCTATGAAGTACAATGACAGAAAGGGCGATAGGGGCATGTCCTCCACTGTCAATGATGGAAGCGGCGACAATGGTGGGAATTCAGAGCAAAGGCAGGGGTACAGAGGGAGAGGTGGTTGCCGAGGCAACAGAGGCAACAGAGGCAACAGAGGCAACAGAGGTAACAGAGGCAACAGAGGTAGTAGAGGCAGCAGAGGCCAGAGAGGCTGCAGCGGAAACAGAGGAGACCATGGCAACGATCTACTGCGGCAGCAAACCTCTTCCCCCGATGACATTGGCGATGACATCGACTTTGACGTTTTGGATCTGTACAGCGAAGATGGACTGAATGAAGTTCGGCAGCCGCTTGACTTCTTCGCCAGGAAATTGTCAGACGATGCTCAGAACAGAAAACAAAACCCAAAGAATACCTCGACCGCAGCCAAAGGGAGCGGTGGACCACCGGGCAGCCAAGCCGGCTCCAGTGCCGACATCCCGGGGGCCGTCAAGGACCATGAGACAAAGGGTGCCAGCGCTCCGGGTGGACTGCAGAGGCCAAGACCCGTGAGAGGTGAACTACACCACCTGCAAACCTCAGGGGGGGAAAAGTGTTAAACTATTAACACGTTTAAAAAAGAAACCGCAACAAGAATTTAAAAGTGCACTTTTTGTTTGTGTCCTTCAGATAAAACTGAGATATGCTTGTACTTCGTCAAGGGACGCTGCATACATGATGATGGTGAGTAATCAGTGACACAGCGTCATGGGGGAACGTCAATCATTCTTCGATGCTCATTTGGGTGTTGTGACCAATGTGTTCTCAGAGCGCTGCTTTAAAGTGCACTTTAAGATGCCGTACAAATGGGAGGTCAGAGAGTTCGACAGGTGGACCGACCTGCCTGATAATGAGGCCATCGAGAAGGACTACTGTGACCCTGCAAAAACATACAGGTACTTCTGGGATATTGTTCTTTAGCACAACCATCTCAATGTGTATATACTGGGGGGGGATTTGCAGAAAAATGTGAGAGTAAAACGACGTCTGTTGGGTAGATATGCAGGTTGTATATGGATATAAGGGAAAGTCAGATATCAAACTCCTTTTAGCTTTTCAACACATCTGGTTCATACAACGCAAGTGCAAACATACAATACAATACAAATCCCCAAACAAAGAATAATAAAATCAGATTGTTTCTTTAGTTTAATCTTACTTGTTTGTTGGGTGGGACTTAAAGAGATATTATTTTACAGGAAGAAATATTCTGTATATTATGGCTTTTCTCAATGGCTCTCTGGTTGTCTGTATTCTAGTGCCGGCATCACACCGGTGCATTTTGACACGATGACCCGCGGATCGGACAAAGTACGCCGACTCTCCACCGCAAACTCTTTGCTTGAGCCGACCTTCATCCACACCACTGAGTGGCTTTGGTACTGGGAGGACGAGTTCGGGAAGTGGAACGTTTACGCTTCAGCACTACACACTGGTGTAAGTATAAGTGTGTTGATGTGAGTGCTGGATATCCTGTGATCTGCTAAAGCTGCTCCTCACATTTTCTCATAGCAACAATGGACTCGTTATGTAATGGTGTTGGGGTATTATTTAAGAAATAGAAATGTTCAAGGCCTTTATTAGACGAAGTCTGATCAAAGTTCAAAGTGATATCATTTCAGTAAACATTGACACAGTTCCTCATAGATAACGGAGCGAGTTAGCAAACACAGGTGCAGCATGGAAGCATAGCATCAGCCGCTGCGGCCTGCAGTTTTATTGAAGGTATGCACACTGACAAGGTGTCACGGTGCGCAAAGCTAGCCGAGCTGATGGGGGGCCAAAAAGGTCAGTTTACCTCTTTTTTGGTGACATTTTGTCCAGTCGGGTCACCACCGTGAATGCAGTTCACTGCAGCAACCTCACTCCACAAACATTTGCCACACCATGAGAAAAATAAGTGAGACCGTCCAATTAGAATTTTGGACTATTGAAGTTTAAAATCATGATCCCACTTGCAAAGCCGAGCCTGTGTCGACAGTCAACAGCATCATTACTTCAAACAACTTCACATTGCAGTGAACTAGCTGCAGAAAATAATAATTTGATAATATTTGATATTAATTTTTTCTCTTTTCACTTTTTTTGTTTTTGTTTTTGGAGGCCTTCGGGCACACGGTACCAACTGCTGATTGGTCGTTGGTCACCTTTTCGGTTCTGCTTGTGTCTTGTGTTCCAGGCTGATGGACGCAGTGTAGCGGACACGGACAGCGCCACACTGGAGCAGAAGTTCCTGAGCAATGACAAAGATGTGGTGAACTTCACCGCCGGTTCACAGTCCTACTCACTCAGCTTCCAGGGTAAACAAATGTTACGCAACAGATCTCTCCAGCCACACTTCGGTGCATTTTGGAATATTCAAGCAGTGCTATAATCTTTTCTATTTCGCAGACATGATGCAAACAAACACGCGCTACAACACTAAGAGGGTCGTGAAAAGACGGCCTAAGTTTGCTTCCGCAGTTGATGTCCGAACACAGAGGCTGAGGTACGACATCTCAGACGCGCTGTGTTGGGAACCATTTCAAGCCGCCTCACACCGACAATAACCCTTTTCTTTTATGACCACAGAAGGCCACTTGTTCAACCGGCTTTCAGCACCATCCCCAACAACTGGGACAAGACGCAGATTCCAGAAACAGGATACAAGGTATGTGGAACACGGCGCATATTCAAAGTGCTCTGGCAACGTTACTTCCAAGGATCTATTTCTATTCCTCGATTACTTTTTTTAGAAAAACAATACTAACTGCTATAAGATCTATGATAACATTATTTGGATTTCCTCCCCTGGAGAAATCCGTGCCGTCTGTCAAAAAAGCTCTCCAGTGTTCAGTTTGTGCCTCTCTCCTTCCTGAGTTGCCCGTTTTGTGTTTATCTAAAGGTTACTGTTTGTTTCTACACTAAACAACATTGCATAATCAATTTTCCCTCCTGCACTTAACTACACTACTGACTATGCTGAAACTACACCCCGCTGCTGGTTTAAGTGGCCTCTCTGGGTTATTTCATTTGAAAAAATATCCTTAATTTACTTGGTTGTGTGCGTCTCCCTCTTTTGTAATGTTTACTTTACTTTATGCGTTGATAACTCTTTTTTATTTCAGTTCTGCCCATCAACACCACACTTGTAAGTGATGAGGCACACTAATGTTACATAACGTGTTTGTGCGGTAAGCCGCAGACATATCGCCGTCATACGAGGAGCTAATGGCAGCTACGTTCTTAGGCGTGTTCAAGGCTGTAAACAAAAATGTTCCTTTTTTACAATTAACTCGTTGCCGTTGTTTATCAATCCCAAATTCAACATCCTGCAGCTGTAAATTCTCCAAATGCGTATTAATCCACATCTGGAAATAGTCCCCAACAAATGCACGCTTCTCTGCTGTTTCAGTAACGTTAGACAAATATTTTAGTACCCAGCTTTTATAGGTTACTTTTCTTTTGTGTTTTATGTCTCGTTAACGTTATATTTATTTAGCCATGGCTTTTATTCAAAGCGGCTCAAGCATGTAGTCACCACCTCAAAAATGATTTTTTTTTTACAAAAATCACAAATAATATTTTAAAACGCTGACTAAGATGGAGATATGTCACCACATGGAAGGCTTAAAAAACAAGGACACGCTGTGTCACTGAGTCTCTGAAATCAGGCCTGCGGCATCCAGTCCAACCTGCTGCACCTGTAAGCAAACAAATCCGCCGACGCAGAAACAGCAGCTTTGACCCGTAGTGGTGCTGATGTGCGCCGTCTACAGCCAAGACAAAATAACGCGTACCGCAGTTTGTAGCGCCAAAAGCAGTTACGACAACGACGACACACTCACGTTTCGGCACTGGCTCCACGTGTCACAAGTGATACGTCTGAGAATGCTTCCTCTAGAGTCCAAGCCGGTTGCTCTCTATGCATCCAACGTAAAGACGGGCAACATGCAGTTTCGAAGCTTTCACATAGTGTTGCTTATTATTTGCAGTAGGGTGTGATTGAGAATGTCCGCATATATATATATATATATATATATACAATTAATAAGCTCCAAAAAAAGAGAGATATATAGATATATATATAGAGATATATATATATCTGGAGATATATATATATATATATATATATATATATATATATATATATATATATACACACTCGCTCTCTTTTATATATATATATATATATATATATATATTCACTCGCTCTCTTTTTTTGGAGCTTATTAATTGTGCTACGCAAGTAATTTACATGAATACACGCACAAGACATGACAGGGCCAGAGAGAGAAACAGCAATCAAAAAATGATGTAAATACAGATAAGATACGGGGAAATAATTAACCGGCGGAACCGGAGTACATTTAGTACTATTTCTCAGTCAATTGACTACAACAATGGTGACGTAAACACTAATTATTATAATCATCACCAGGATGATCATCATTCTAGTAATTATGAACTGTATGGTAAAATATATGTAATACTAACAATAATCTTCATCATTGTAATAAAAATTGAATATTTAACAATAAAATTACCAAACTAATGGGATCCAAATATCACCATTGATTATATCAGTCTTAATAATGTACCATATTTCAAACAGAAATAATGTTATAATTATTATTTCAAAAAAGCTGATGGACGTGTAAATAAACCTTGAAGGTGAAATGTCAATGTTCCCAATGTGTTTCTGTGGCTAACAAATGTGTGAAAGCCGTACGCCTGAGTAAACGTAATTCTGTTGCTGTGTGTTTCCCAGCGAGTGCCCCTGCTGCGCCTCTCGGATGACTTTAAGGAGCTTGAGAGTCTTTTCCGTAAAACTATGAGAGGCTTTGACATTGTGAAAATAGAGAGGATCCAGAACAAAGCTCTTTGGGATGTCTTTCAGTGGTACGTACGTTTTTTATAATGGGGAAATAACACCCTCACCCTCTGATAGCCACATATCAGTATTTATTATTATTCTGTGGTTGCCAAAGTTCCAGTTTGTCAGCACTCTTTCCTTTAAAGTATCAGCTTTACCGTTCCTGATTCATTCCTGTATACAGGCAGAAGAATCAAATGAAAAACAACAACAACGGGAAAAATGTGAGCGAAAAACAGCTTTTTCACGGCACTGACCCAAAGTACGTAGATGGCATCTGCCACACCAACTTTGACTGGAGGATCTGTGGACTTAATGGAACGGTGTTTGGCCAAGGTGAGTTGAAGAAATATAAATTGTGAGCCATTTACTGATTTGATGACAAAAGATGCTTTGGGGTCAGTCAACTTGGACGCTGGGAAATTCAATTCAATTCATTTTATTTTGTATAGCCCATAATCGCAAATTACAAATTTGCCTCAGAGGGCTTTACAGTCTGTACACATACAACATCCTCTGTCCCGAAACCCACCATCAGCACAGGAAAAACTCCCCAAAAATGTATTTTCTTGTGTCCCAACACAGGAAGTTACTTTGCCCGGGACGCCAAGTACTCGCACTGCTACACCGGTGACTCTGACGTCCGCTCCATGTTCGTCTCTCGGGTGCTGGTGGGAGACTACACCAAAGGGAACTCCAGCTACCGCCGACCTCCTTCCAAGGACGGAGGGGACATAAACTTCTACCACAGCTGCGTGGACGACGTTTTGGACCCTTCGATCTTTGTTGTGTTTGAGAAGTTCCAGATTTACCCAGAGTACCTGCTGCAGTACAAGGCCGCGCACCCACTCGTTGACAGGTTGAGTGGCTACACGTCGGTACCGCCACCGAGATCTTATCAACCCACGGTGAGCACAGCCTCGCTCCGACCCAGCGCGTCAGTTTCTCCACCCAGCGCAGCCTCGTACCGACCCAGCGCGTCGGTTTCTCCACCCAGCGCAGCCTCGTACCGACCCAGCGCGTCAGTTTCTCCACCCAGCGCAGCCTCGCTCCGACCCAGCGCGTCAGTTCCTCCACTCAGCACACCCTCGTACGATTTTAGCACAACATCTTACCAACGGTCCAACAGTACAAGTATTGCCCGAAAATCGTCATCACCTCCGTTAAAGAAAAACGATAGCTGTGTCATTGCTTAGGGAAAACGGCAAAATGTCAATTCAGCTCGAAGTAGGCAAGCCACTATGCTAAAGCAACTCCGCTTTTAAAAGTCCAGAGACATCCACTAACACTAAATGGGAAGTTAAGCGGATTTTCAGCACCCCGGTGTGGTTATGTGAATGTCAGGTGCCGGTAAAGCAGTCTAGAAGAGGCAGCAACAAGACGACACAATTGCGAGCCTGTAAAAACATATTTTAAAGCGTTATGAAAACATGTAATTGGGGTTTGTTTTGTTTGCATTTACTGTGGAATTTCACCTATTGAGGTGGGATTAAAATAAATGGAGGGAAATTCATTTGAAATCCACACATTTTCTCAGGATTTTCCTCTTTTTTTTAATCGCAACATCATTCATATACTCTAATTAGGAATACATCCTTTATAGTTCTTGTCACAGCCAGAGGTTCTGCTGCGTAACAGCAAACGGCGGCAACATCCTGATCGGCTTCGCAAAATAGAAATTGAAATAAGGTTTTGTAGTGTACATGTGGGCTGTTTGGAAGTTAAATCACTTATTAAACCACGTTGTGTTTTTCTTTCCAGTGTGACTATATACAGTGTTTTCCGAACCTTTTAATTTTGTGCATTAAAGGAATGTATAATCAATCAATGAGTAATTGTGTTACGATGGAAAACTGCACACAGAAGCAACATGCAGTCCTTTCTTTGTGCGTCTCATCAGTGAATCGAAAAGGCCGTCAGCGGTCGCGTTGAGCCTCTTAGTGAAATGAGGCAGCGCATGACATTAGACGTACGGCCTTAACTTCTGACTTCTGTCAATCAATTGTCAATGAAATATAGACGAGGTTTTGGCACAACCTGATTGTGTAATCATCTATTGTATTGTTAGACCAAAAACATTTGAAGTGAACCTTAATTATATCGATTTTATTGTAATGTACCTCAACCTATTAACTTAAACTACTATCTAATTGGTAAAAGTTTCATTGTTTTTGTTTTACTGTTTGGTCTTTCAATTTGAATGAATTATTAAATTTATGTTGCTTCATTATTTTCATTTAAGTGCTTTTCACTACTACTGTCAGTTACTACTAACTCCTCCTGCACTATGTAGTTTCTTACCGTCTCTTTATATACATTTATATATATGCAAATAAATATGTAAATGTATGAAATACAACATGTGACTTGAATGTGACTTCGCAGTGGTAGTGACCCGTCAGTCACAAGCCACATTCTGCTTTATTCTCAAGAGGACAATGATTTACTAAATCAACATGATGCTGAACCAAACAAAGGAGAAGTACAGTCGGCCTTCCATAAAATCACACCTCTGGATACTCGTTGCTTGTTGGTGGATGACTGTCCTCCCGTCGGGGAACTAATGAAGAACATTGACTCCTCGGAACAGAAAAAGACGGGACCGCTCCGTTGGTCCACTGCATTACGGCGGATCGCCATGCATCAGGACAAATGGATTTGGCCGTCACTACCAGAACACCCGTCTCCCCGCCACACGTGTGCTCCATTATGGGTTTGCTGCCCATTAAGATGGAGCTGTCCTCTTGGGTAAATGCAGCTGCCTCAGTGACAGGAACCAGCCCTCTCTCTCTCTCTCTCTCTCTCTCTGCCGGCTGCCAGGAGCTCCCGGGCCTCGGCGCATCGGAAAATCGGCTCCGCCCGCATTTACAAGAGCTTATGAATTAAATATGACTCCCTTTCCCTTGTCTGCGCGCAACCCTGCTGGTGTTTGAGGTGTTTGTGTTTCTGCTGAGTCACAGCCCTTCTGTTCCAGCCGATTGGGAGCGCGGCAGGAGCCCCGGGGGGTCGAGAGGATGTGAGTCAGAGCTTCATTTGGCTGATAGCAAGAGGGGCAAGGGGGGCTTTGTCGAGTTTCCAGGGACCAAACCCTGGAAAGAGACCTGATGATGCCATTGGGCCCCAAACGCCTTTTCTGATGGTATTACATTCAAATATGATGTATATGAGTCAGCGGATAACAAGCTGAATTGAGGGAGCAGAAATTGTTTTTTTCCCCCATTTATTGCCGCTGCTCTTTTTTGTATTTCATCTTCCCTTCATCACTACTTCTATCTATACTTATTCTTCCTTTTAGAATGTGGTGTGTCGGTAGAACCCTGAGGTTTTGAGAAGAAACGCAGCGGGTAACTGGGATAAGGGGAAATGTGGTCTTAAAGTAACGTGAAATGGAGACTACTAATCCTCTGAGATTCCCCCTCTCAGCTTAGTTTCTATTTTCGTGCGGCTGCTTATGGAGATGTGTCTCGCTGTGATTGGATGACAACGTTTGCGCTGCACTTTGGGGTGCAGCTTGTGTCTCTGTTCCTGTCTCAGCAGCAACATGTGATTCCCCCTTTCAAGAGAGATCAAGGGCAACGACTGCATTCAAGGCAGAGAGGTGGTTACATCATAATTCATGCTGACGCCATTTGGCCCATTGAAGATGAACCATTAAAAAGGTGATTGATGCTCAGAAGTGTCCGACTTTATGCACACGAAAGATGCACAATGTGGTGTAGCATTACATGTGCAATTAATTAGTTGCTATCGCAGCATCTTTGAACATGCCAGTTTCCTTCTAAGGGCTGGAAGGTGGACCAAAGCTTCTCATTAAAGTCTCATTGGCTCCAACACAATCTCAGGATTTGTACGGTCCTTCAAACATCTACACAAGAATTAATCAAAAGTTTTTCTTAATCCTGCTTTGTGCTCATGACAAAGCAGAATTAAGACATTGTAGTGTCGTAATAACGTTATTATAAACTTCTGAAATAAAACCTATGATGACTATCTGTGCTAGCAGCGTGCAGTACAAATAAATTGACCTTTGACCAAACAGAGAATACTTATTTGGGCCGGCTGTGATCACAACCAACAGACAGGAGCTACTCAGCGGAGTGTCTCCCCAGAGATAAATGACTTCTTATTACACTCTGTTACATCAGCGACAGCTATGAGTCGATGTGTTCTTGTGTCCGAGCGCCGTTGTGAAATATTTACTTCTGCTGGTGTCGCCCTGACCGATATTTCACACACTGAACTTTCCAGTTATGTTTTCTATTCTGTAGTAATTGAACATGTTAGAGGACCATGAACTTTTTTATGCTGTAATCCCGAGATGAATTATGTCAAAAGCTAGTTTTTCTTGAAACAACAACTATGAACACAAAGTAGTTTGATGTGATTTGTTATAATGTTTGTGTAGAATCGACTGTGCATACCAGATGGAGCTGGCAGATGGACAGTGATGGTTGTTAAAATAAGGTGTTTATGAGGGCGCGTACGAAATACATTTATAAAAATAGGTTTGCTTATATTCCCAAGAAGTATAAAACATGTTGTTAACAAGAGTATATACAAAATACATACACATGGCAAATAAATTACATGAATTACTTCATGTAAAAAAACAAGTTAAAGGGGTTATGTTACACACAGCTGTGTGGGATGTTTTGCTAATTATCAAATCAGAATCACTTCTGTTTTACATTCTCCATCTGCACCAAGTTTGTTCATAAATATTTGAATAATTATGGATTTCAGTGGGATTTTGAACCGCCTCACAACATTTTTTTTTAAGTGTATTGCATTTTTGTAATTTTTTTGTTAACCTGTGAACTATTTAAATGTTGGTCTACACACATTCGTCTCGCCTTCACCGAAAGATGCTCAGTTCCTTTCGACAATAAAAGCACCACGGACTACACCCCTCATGTTCCCGGCATGCATTGTGGGGAGAGCGAGAGGGAGAGAGAGAGAGAGGTGGGGGGTGTTTGGGGGGAATTGGCTGGGAGGCGGAGGAGGACCGCGGACCTGAGCGCAGAAGAAGAAGGAGCAGCATCATCGGAAGAAGAAGAAGAAGAAGAAGAGGAAGAAGCAGAAGAAGAAGAAGAAGAAGAAAAAGAAGAAGATACCTCCTCCGCTGCTCGGTCATCCCTGAGAGCCGCTCAGGTAAATGAAGCCTTTGTGCAGATCTTCCGTCCCTCCTGCTCGCGTTGTATCCACATCATTTCTGCGCGCGGCGCTTTTTGTGGGGAAACGATCCGCTGAACGCACCGTGGCGTTTGGTCAGTAGCGTGTTATTATCATCCCTCGGATAAGATGGAGAGGGGGGGGGGGACCTGAGTGTGTGTGTGTGTGTGTGTGTGTGTGGGGGGGGGGGGGGTTGCTGTAGTAGGTCTGTGCAGGGATTCCCTCAGCCGTGTCTCTGCAGCCTCCAGTCCTCTGGACCGGGGAGGGAGGGATGGGGGGGGGGGGGGATCCATTTCATGATTGTGAGCGTGGATTGCTTTGCAAAGAAACCTCTTTCAATTCCCCTCAACAGCTTTCTGAGGATCAATTCGAGAGATTTCTATGAAGTTGTTTATTACATGTATTATTCCATCGCTCTCTGCCCCCCTCCAGGGAGAGGCTTGTCCCACATTTCTGTTCATCGATTGCATCCTAGCGATATTTGAATCAGAACGTGGTGATGGATGTTTGCAGGGTGCTTTGCTGCGGTTGCCGGGGGCTGCTGTCCATCAACTCGGATCGAAGCGACCAGACGCGCGTCTCTTAATAACGATGTTTGTCCGCTGCAGAGGGAAGTTTCGTCTTCCCTTTTAGTGAAGCTGCATAGGATGCTGTGCATTTTTCCTCAATGACACTGCAATGAAAAATAAAGGGAAGGGGGGGTCAGGAGACAGGCACAGGTCGTTCCTCCATAACTACTCATCTGTTTTGTCTCCGCACACATGTCCTCAGCATGAACGGCAGGATGCCGCCACTAATGATCCCTTTTACTCATGGTGACCTTTTGAGTCCGTATCAGCTGGTCTGTCTGGGCTCCGAGTGCACTTTGATGGAGAAACAAGTCGTAGTAATGTGGGGGCTGGTTTGTTGTGAATGGAGCTTCCAATCAATATGCTATTGAAGCTTTTTTTCTTTTTTGAAATGGAAATGATTCATCAGCAGCCTGTTAGTCAGATCGTAGATGTGATGGGATGAAGCTTTCGTTTTGAAGTGATGAGTGTTGAAAAACAACAATCACAATCTTTTGTAGTTCGTTTGACTTTGACAATTCTTCATGGTTTCTGCGTTAAAAAAAGGTCCAAACACCTCGAGAGGGGGGTTGGGGGGGCTCTGTGGCTCGTCCCCCTGGGGAATAACGCGTGGGCTTCACGCGGGGGGCCAGATAAGTGGTCACTTTACACCCCGAGGTTCCTTCAGGGTGTATCGAGTGTTCTGGATCCGTCCAGCGTGCTGGTGCTAATGTGGCGTCTGCAGTGAGGTCACTGCGCGGTGACTCGGCAGAGACTCCTCGCCTCACCAGCCCCCCTCCCATCCCCCCCTTCTCCCCCATGCTTCCGCAGATACCGGGAGGCCGCTGTGTCGCCGAGCGCGCTCTCCGTCACTGCAGTCGAGGTTCCCAGGACGGCTTTCTCACCGATAAGGTCTCCAGCTCGGCAGTCTTTAATTAAAAGTGGATCATTGTGTGGTTAATAAGTCCTCCGCTTTCTAATTAAGTCTTTTTCTCTGTTCACACTGTAACATGTGAGGTCTCTCGGAGACGGAGCGAGCGAAGCGCATTTCACAGCGCCGGAATCAACAGCCTCAGCCTGGAGTGTCTTCACAAGCCGGCTTTTTACAAGTTCTTGCAAACGGCTGATTAAAATAAGCGGCAGGCCTCTGCTCACAGCCTCCCACAGCGACTTAACACCATCTCCTCTGCAGACGTCGTGCCACATCTGAGGCCGGTGGAATTTAATATCGTGGCTTCTAAATTCACGTCGCCACCGAAGTGAGTTAGTTTCTATGGGTGTTTGTCACAGGTCTAAAATTGATTCATTCCCAAATCCTCTGAGGACCATGAATATGTATGTGAAAGAGTGTTGGACATAGCAACATTTATAAATAAAAACAGTAGAAGATAGAGTAACCATGGTAACAGTATTAAAACTTGTTGGTTGGTAACTGTCATTAGCACCCACACGGTTATTTATAATCCGCCCCGGAGTGCCTCGGGGCGTGTTTAAAGCCCCCCCCCTTCCCGTTCCAGCAATCTAGTTCCTTTCACTCTCCTTGTTTGACTTGAGCCCAGCGACGGTCTGCTCATACCGGTCACTCTACCCCCCCCCAACACCACGCCGCCGCCGCCCCCCCTCCGTCCTAGCCCAGGCTGTCATGAATAATAAACGCCACGTCTGACTGCTGGACGGCAGGAAGTCACACACGCGCCCCGCTGGGCTGGAGACGGGTTACCAGTGTTGGGCGATGACCCACAATCTGCCTCGGCGTGTGATGTGAGATGGGTTCTCTTGAATGCATTTATAAGGATGATGTCATTGTGTATGCTCTTATGAACCATCTGAAAATCAAGTCAAGTCAATGGTGTTCATTTGCGTAAATATAATGGGTGATTAGGACATAGATATAGATATATTCTCTATTAATGATTAAATGATTGTTAATTAAATATCTCCCAGACCCTCATTTAATATGTTTGAACTGTTATGTTTATGTTTTACACGCTGCTATTATGAATTTGTCAAACTTTTATTGATAATGACCCCCCCCATGGTTGTAGATTCATTTTATTGATCAACTGATCATTAAAGCCTGCAGCTTTTTTTTGGCTATTTTTTAACTTTTGCAGTGGAAGATGGAATAGAATACAACAAGCTGTGGTCTGCACGGGAGTCTCTGCCCTTCGCCACCAACCACACTTCCAAAAATAGATCCACATTGTTATTCCGACTGTACAATCATTGAGGAGCACAGCAACCCTTGAGCACCGAGTTTGTTTGATGATTTTCCTCATTAAGGAAATCAACATCTGTTCAATTCACATTTGGAAATGCTTTTTACTGCATCATTTGGTCGTGGAAGTCTTAACAAGCGGCGGTGTGGACAGACGTCACGATATGTGACACATTCGGCAGATCGGGATGTAAAATAACAAAAACAAGACAGGACCAGCAGGTCTTAGACAAGGTCTTCAATTACAAGATGTAGTAGATGTAGAATACTAAACCCCAGCAGGGGCCCATCCTGCTCTCCCCCCTCATCATGGAGCCAAACCTGTGATTACTGCCGAGCCACCGTCCTTTTTCTGCTGCTGGGGTTCTTTAGAACATGTCCTCCTCATCCATATGCACATGGAATCCCGTAAAATGCTTTTTTCTAACTTTATTTATATAAAGTGATGTTTCTCTTTCATCTCGGCAATTTCCTTCTCTGGCTGAATGGGAGGCTTTAGAAATGAAGATAAAGGGATTCTGCATTTGCTCATGTAGCCTGAAACTGGTAATTTGGCAAACGTTCAGATAACCAGTCTGACTAATCAATGGGAACAACGTGTGTCTACATGCTTTGAGTCATTTCATTAAGCTGTCACTGGAAACCTGGATTAATTCAATCCGGAGAGACTTGTTGAAATTTTAACAATGCTTTATTGTAACAGGCATAAATATTTATATTGCCAAGTTGTTTGGGGCTTGGACTCCATCCTGCCGTAGGATAGACCAGGGGCTGGCATGCCGAGGTGAGGCATATACCCCCTTTGGGAGTCCAGACACTGGTGGTGGTGGTAGAGCCGGTTGCTCCAATCTCCTGCTATGCCAGTTCTGCTGTAGATTGGAGGTGTCAGGGGTGGTGGCAGGTCACCTTTGGTGCGTGCTGAAATGACAACTGACAGCAAAAGAGAGGAGAACAGTTTTTAATGTTTGCCCGCCCCGATGCAATTGGCTTACGGTAACGACACCCACGTCTGGTTGATTAGCGGCGGGGTCGGGTAGTACCAGCCAGCTGGCCGCGCGCCCCCAGGGAGACGAAGCCACACAGCCTGTCCAGTCTTCCTGACTGAATTTTCATTTTATTTGAGCATGCACGGGTGACACATGTCAGCGTTGCCTCTCTGAATCACCTCATGTTTCAATCACATGATCAGTGTGATTCACTGCTTCACCATTTTCGTCCAACGTGGATTTTATTTAGCGCAGTGTATTTTCCCTCCTGATCTCATGAACGCGTTTGAATACAAAGAGTACCACTACATTATCCAACATGACTCCAGTCTTCAGTGGCAAAACACAAAGTAGTGTAAGATACTCATTTACATGGGATTCGCATACAGATGAGGAGGCGAGTGAAAAAGGAAGCTGCAGTTCTGATAGGAACGGATATTAAGCTCTTTTGTTATTTTCACCAAACACCTTAATACCAAACCCGCAATGAGGTAACTATGGATATCAGTGAGCCACGTCGTTGCACTGGGTTATTCCCATTAACGCGCACGGTCAATGGCAACACAATTGTGGAGCTCCAAATGGGTATTCATTGAGGGATGGTCATATATTGGTAATTAAATGTCTTTGCATGGAATTGTATTGTGATGAATCATAAAGTACAAAGCACAAAATAAAACAACTCGTCATCGCTCAGGTATTTAATTCATAAGGATTTTTCATGTATGGAATAACCAGAAAACAGAGTTTTGTAAAATGTTTTATAAATGTTTTTAAACGTTTTATCATGATATATGTTATTTTTTTATTATTGAGAAATGAAATGACCTGTTTTGGGAAAGAAGATTCTTCCCACATGGTTGAGCCCTTTATTAATCTTAGCTGAAAAATACTTTCAAAAAAAATAATTGCATGAGGCCTATTTGCTCCCGTTTGAGTGGCGTTAGTTAAAATCCGCAGGACCCAATGGCTGACAGGGTCAGCATTCATCTGTAATCAACATATAAACAAATTAAATAACTTCCCCTGATGGTGGAAGGCTCGCAGACTATTTAATCCCATTAGCTCAGTGGGGCCTTCTAGAGTCTTGCAGCTCACTTTATTGTTTTCGGCGCCCTTGCTTCCTTGCGGTGCGATGGATAAACCCTTCTCTGGGTTACGTAACCGCTTCCTCTCTCCCGTTAGGCTCAGTCTGCTTTCCAGAGGCGCGAGCCGGAAACAGCGCTACGACTTCGCATCACACACCGCTGTGTCACTGAACAACTTGCCAGATGGTTCCCGGCCCACCCTGCGTGGGAAATCTAATTTCATGCGAATCAGCATCAGCGGATTCGAAAGCCGCGAGCTGTTTCTTCAACATAACAAGGCCTCTGTGCTTTTGTTTGGCCCCCGCCTGAGCTCGGCATTTATCTCCCACATGTGACTGTTCGCCTCGTTTCTGACGTTCGCTGATTGGTGTGAACTTCGGAAAGCAGAAAAGTATCACAAGTTTAACAACACGGTGATAACACAAGGCTGCCGCGCCTCTGATTTCTTCACATTAGCAGCTACTCTCTCTCTCTCTCTCTCTCTCTCTCGCTCTCTGTCGCTCCAACGCACACGTGAGATTACGTATATGTACTGACTGCAATTGAATCGCACTACGGACAGTTTGGAGGGGTGGGGTTGTGGCCCTTCTCTCCCCCTCCGGTGTAGATGGCTTATTGGATTTATCTCATTTAATTGTGATTACAATAGGTCACAAACTGTGCTCAAGAATAGCCAATGGGAAGGAGGAAAAAAAGACAAAAAAGAAGAAGAAAGCTGATAAATCGGTTAGGTCCGTGGTCCTCTTTCTCTGCTTCCCATCTCCTTTCCTTTTTGTTGCGCTTGTCCGCTTGTATCCGGAGCCCCTCTTCGGGGTTCGAACATGTCGGATTCTTTTTCTTTAAAAAAAAACAACGTTTTTCTTTCTTTACCAACGTGGCTGTTTTAGGGTTGGTGATGAAGCCACGACCCCCCTGTCAGCCCGCAGAGTCCAAGCCGGGGGTCGCGACCCCCAGTTCGGAGGTGGGCGTGGCTACTCGGCTCATGTTGCCTTTAAGTTACTGGTAACAGATAGATTGTTATTTGTGTGCCCGGTTTGTTTTCATACAAGTTCCAAATGATCCTGAAATAATCCTTTGTCTCCACCATCTCTCCCTTTCTTGCAGGATTCCAGGCATTTTCCCCCCAAATCCTCCTCTGGCCTGACGGACCCACCAGCCCATCGCCATGAACTACCTCCGCCGGCGCCTGTCAGACAGCAGCTTCGTGGCCAACCTGCCCAACGGCTACATGATGGACCTGCAGAGGCCAACCCCTGCGGGCTCCTCCACCTCCTCCACCTCCTCCCCGGCCTCCCCGGCCACGGAGAGACGGCAGCCGCCGAGCGTCCCGCCGCCGGCCTCCAACCCGGCCCTGGGCGCCGCCCCGGGCGTTGCCCCAAGCCCTGCCCCAAGCCCCGCCCCGATCACCGCACCGGCTCCGGGCGCGGGAGGGTTCCTCAGCTCCTTCTCCAGCGTGGTGAAGAGCGCTCAGATGGCCCAGAACGTCGCCGCCGCCGCTCACGCCAAGTCGGTGGCCGCGGCGGCCGGAGGAAGCGGTCAGCCCCCGAAACCTGTCGTACGCAAGCCCAAGATCCTGCTGGTCATCGATGACCAGCACACAGACTGGTGGGTGCAGCTTTTCTTTGCCTGTGTGTGTGTGTGTGCGCTTGGGTTGTGTATCACATTTTTCCCGCATTTAGAAGAGAAATATATTTCATTTGTTAATATAAATGATGTGATTAGTTTGTCTCAAACCAGTTCAATAATATATTTTGTATTTATTTTACATGTAGTGTTTTTTTTATTAAACATGAGCATCTGACCGCTCACTGAGTAGCATCTGAGAGATTCAGGATGGTGTTTTCTAAAGGTTAGTATGTTTAAACTGATCAGTGGACATCCTCGTGTTCCTGTGTGGAATCTTTACAGCGTGCGATACAATTCGTCATTTAAAGAAGGCAAGAACGTGTCGTGCGTCCTTGTCTCTTGTAGGCTCATACTGTGGCTGTCATGGTAACGGGAGGGAGTGAAGTTCCCCGTGAAGTTAATTGAAATTAACTTTTATGAGAAGAAACCGGTTCATGGTGTTTTTAGCAACAACGCACAGATCGATTCCCACACCTGCAGCAGCCCACTGCATCACGTCGGTCCCAGCCAATCAATAAGCCGCTCCTCGATTTCATTTACTGTTACGTCGGTTCAGTGAAGCTGTTATGGCCTCTGCATTTATCTGCACGATTAGCCGGCATCATTATGTCCTGAGGCGTCAGTAACTGTGGGGTCGGAACCTTCTCCGAGACAAAGGCACAGCGTACCTGTAGAATTTCCCCGGCCGGAGGCGAAAAGTCGAAAGAATCGACTCGCTCGGGATTAAAAATCCAAAAATCTGTACAGCTTTTGGGGATTTTGCTGGGTGTGTCCATTATTTACACTGCACATTCAAACGTAGCTTTGCCCAGGTTGGTCATTGTGCCGCTCCTCTGTCTCTATTTTGTGATCGGACCTGAAATCCCTCTCTCACCTTATCAGACCACATCAACATCACAATAGATTCAATGAATAAACCTTTGGCCTAAAGCGTCTTCTTCCATCTGCTAGCCAACAGCTAATACACTTAATCATAACATGTCATAACATCATTTTTAATTCATTTTATATGGCCAAAAATCAAATAGTTGCCACAAATGGCTTTCCTATCTGCAGATCTACAACATCCTTTGCTCCTAAACTTGAGCCTGACAGGAAAAGAAACTTCATTGGGAATAAAAAGACCCGTTGAAGAAGGCTTAAGCCTCGTTCCTCCAGGCTGAACATTACAATGTGGATGGATGTCAGGTGTACAGTATTAAATGACAAGATATACACTGTCTTTAATTCATATTAATAAAAACCAATATCTAATATCACACAAACTATAATTCTACCACTAGGCATGATTACACATTTTATCATTTCTAATTTCTAATTTCTTATTTTCGAGATGACAAAAGACTGCTGATGTCATCAGGCATACTTTTTACATTGTGGCTCTCCGTCAATGCCCCCTTAAATTAAATTATTATTTTAAGCCTGGTTGTTCCTCTAAAGTAAACCGTTATGGCTGGATCAACCCCTCCGTGTCTGTCTCATTTTTAAATGGAGCATAAATCCCCAAAATATTGATTTTTAATATGAATCAATCTGTCAACTTTTTATTTCTTTTTTATGGCCACCAGATGTCACTGTAGTTCAATCTTCGACTTGCTGTGACGTTCCTGTTGCAGAAGCGAAGGCGCTGGCCAGCAGGTGGCGCCGTGCGATAGCCTCAAAGGTTAATATGACAGACTCTGAAATAATCAGCTGCAGCAGATGTGATCTGCAGCCGCTCTGCTCAGTCACACCCTGAAGCGCTGTGCTTCACACTCATGATGCAGATATTGTTGTAGTGTCGCGCCCATGCTGAGAGTCGACACCGATATTCAATTCGAGGTCTCCCATTGCTATTCCCGACCTGAGACCGGAGGTTTTTAGACCAGGGGTCCTCCTGGGGAGTTGGGTTGGGTAAGTGAGAGGTCATCACAAGTGACTAGTAAGTAGGTTGGTTCACTCATCATTGCAATCAACATTCGTAGCAGTCGCTCTGAAATAACAGCTCAGGATGGCACTTCCACCCCATCGCAACCATTTGTGTTAAAAAAAGATTCCTCTGAACATGATGCAGATATTTTTTGATTTCATGTCACTATTTTTGGTGTGATAACATCATACATGTCACTGGGTTAAACAGCATGTGACTGTATTGGTGTCAGCGGGGGAAAAAAAGGGAGAATAGCTGGTCGCTTCCTGGTGAGTCCACCATAAGCACATCATTGAGTTGCTAGGCAACAGCTCGGGTCCATGTTTACTTCTTGTCAGCAGATGTCGTTTACATCCCCGGATACAGGATACAAGGGGGGACACATTTTAACAGTAGACCTGTTAAAGGCCCAGTTTCTGAAGGTGAGTGTACTTCAGAGTATTTACACAGGTACTGATTTATAATAACGACATGAAAATCTCCATCTTCACATGACGGCACCTGTAAAGAAATGGCCTGGAGTGGCATCAGCTCAGCTGAACGGTGTTGCGTGTGTCGGCGGGTACTCGGCGCTCCACCATTAGAACCAACTCCGTCGCCACTCACCGGACGGTATGAATAAAATGCGGATGCCTCTTAGACACAGTCTGGTTTTGCCGCTGGGCATTCCTGCAGAGAGCCCCGAGGTCTCTGGGGAAACGCTGGTCCCTGGCTGACAGGCTTGGCCTCCTGCAATGACTGAGGCACAATAGCAGCAACGGAGCACTGGGGCGAAGTCTCCAGGAGCATCCCCACGACCACCGCCGACAATCCCTCCTTCTCTGCCCTGAGCCCCGTGACCACATTCTCATTCTGGGTCTGAAAAAACAAAAACGAAACAAACCCCCCCCCCCCACTGTTGAACATCTCACAGGCAGAAAGAAGCAGAAGATCTTCTTGTGGGATTTATTAATCCGCGCTTTACTCCACCTCACGCATCACAAGGACTTGCTTAGTTCATTTGTGTGCTAAAGTCCCACAATCCAGGGCCCCAAGTGGCCAAAAGAAAACAGTTATTGAGAGTTCAAGACCGGCACTGGTAACTACACTGCTTGTCTTATTATGATGGAACAGTTTCTTGTTACTGGGAACTTTGCGTGCTTCATAGGAGAAAACAAGTTGAACCAACACATCTGATTTAATCATCATGTCAAAATTTGTATGCTGCAGAGAAACAGATTAGTATTAGCACAGCATCTTAGCATAGCATAGTAGATCCAAATAGAAACAACGATAACTACAAAAGGCGAACGAAACCTGGAGGGGCATCTGGTTTTGCCAACATACTCACACACATACTGTGAATGGGCCATAAAATAAGGAACATATATTCTTGAGGTTAAAAAAAAGGCAGATGTGTGCATGGTGTTCGTACAGCGGGTGTGAGCCGGATGAGGGAAGCCCCAGACCACTTTGTGGAGCAGCATGTTTACATTTGGACACGCGAAGCCCGCCAGCAAATACATTTAATTGATCTCTGGGTTGTGACGACACACCTGGAAACGCATGCCAGCCATTTTTCAGCCCGTGAGCCCGGGGGCCCCGGATCATGCTCTGTAGCATTTAGGTCAGTCACGCCGAAGATTTACGGCCTGCAAAATGACAGAGAACGAGACGGGGCGAGACCCGAAACACCTGGGAGACGCTCAGAACAAGACCCGCCCCCTAATGAACCGAGTTAAGGGGCGGACGTGGTGAGAGTTGAAAAATGGGCCTTTTGTTGCGGGCGAGGCCGAGCGGCGCCGTAAATCCCAAACAGAGCATCCCAGTGACCGCCGGCCCTCAGCGGCGCCCGGCCCTGACCTAGAGCCCTCTACGGGTTGTTAACCGTCCCACGCCTGCAAGGGATCAGAGGTCGACCCAGTTGCATTATAAAGCTCGAAAAAACCCGCTTCTATTAACTCGCTTCTAGAGTTGTACACATGCCAACGATGATGTCGCACATCGGTCCAATGCGGAATAATAGCTGGATGGAGCATCAGTGACAATTTGCCAATCTGGTATTGTTTTAACAAATCTGACAAATCTATTTAGTTTTGGAAATATCAGAAATGGGGACAGTTGTGCCTGGGGTTGTCACGATACCAAAGTTATGACTTCGATACTATACCTGCCAAAATATTACGTTACCCGATACGTACGATTCGATACCACAAATACGAAACTGGAATATTTATCTATGATAGTAATAAATAAAACATCTGTAAGGTTCCCTTTTTTACCTGGCATCTGTTTGACTGTCTGTGGGATAAATAATTCTTCATTTACTTGCACATCGAGTTTGATCTTCTCACATTCATATTTCCTTAACTAAAAATAAAAAGAATTAGGTGAATCAGGCTCCACCAGCATGTAGCATTCTGACCTCATGATCATATAGGCCCACATGAGTGAAATTGTAGGTTAATTTGCATGTATATATTACTGCTGGACGATTCAGTAACTTATTTGCGGTCTTGCTTTGTCTTGTGTTGCACATGCTTGATGTTTGACTGTTAGGAAAGTTGTTGTGTTTGACTGTTAGGAAAGTTAGCCAACAAAGCTGCAGGCTGCCAACTCTCATGGTTTCCCCGTGTGACACACATGTTTGCATGTTTTCACACTCCCACTCACGCCACACATCCAATTTCTAACGCTAACAAAAACAGTGAGTGCTCTCGGATTGCGTGCTCTTTTTAAAGAACCGGTACAAAAACATTTCAAAACCGTATCGTTTTCAACATAAGGGTACCGCGGTACCTTTCTAGTACCGGTACACCGTGCAACACTAGTTGTGCCCGGTTGAAATTGCAGGAATCAGATTTCTTTGAGTTTTGCCGAGTCAGAAACAAACAAGTTTAATGGTGCAGCGGAAACTTAAATGAGCTAAATGAAAAAAAAAAGTAAAACAGTGAACTTTCCACTGCGGTTTTCCTGTATACAAACTGCAGCTTCCACATGTTTGTAAATACTGCAGGTCCGATGGTCAGGGAGACAGCTCCACCAGTGCCGGGTGACTTCTGCGCTACACCCATGTGATCGTCGGTGTGACTAACACGGAGGGGAGCGTTTCTCTGTTAACTTTAGTTCAGCGGTTACTCTTTGCTTAGAGATTCTGTTTATCCCGCATGGTCAGATTCCGTAATTATGGAAAATATGAGTCATTACCTTTTCTCGCTCTTAAGATCTGCTGAGATTTCATCTCTGTTCCAATGAAATAAACAAAGGATATTTTAAGGTTGTTTTGACTGTTTGGTGCGCACACACACACACACACACACACACACACACACACACTGTACGGGGCAATCCAGATGTTGAAGTACATCAACATGTGGATCACTGCAATACATCACAGTCATTTATACAGTTTGATTGGTCTCAATCTTTGCCTTGTTTTATCTGTGCTGGTATGAAATTCATCATTTATTGTCTTTTGTTTCTTTGCAGGGCAAAGTTTTTTCGAGGGAAGAAACTTAACGGAGAATATGAGATCCGGGTGGAGCAGGTACGGTGCACTTGACATGACTTTTTATATTTTAAAACGAATCATTTAAAAACTACAATATGCAAAAGCCTTCATTTCTTAAAATGATATTGTAGGTGACCTTCTGTTTATAGCCAATCCATGCTGCCTGTCACTCAATGATGTCATTGGGCGAAATACACCGTAATGAGATGCAAGCTTCTCAATAACCGTTCATCCGGTTCAACTCATACATGGCAGATGTTTGGCCAGGGACCCCCTGCCGGGCTCTGTCGTATTTGGTGCAATTTTGGACACCTCGACAACCAGCGGTTGATTAGCTTAGCTTCCCTTACCATAGAGTTGAGAAGGGAAACCGTGATACCCAAAGCATTCAAACACGCCTACTAGCACCTCCACAGAACGTTAATCCACATGTTATATCTCGAACCAAATTGTAAGAAAACAACACAGCTCTTTATTCAGCGCCCCCCCCTCCCTCCAAGACAGGCTTAGCCAATACCATCAATGAGACATGCATCAATCTCCTGAAGGGAAAGAAGCATGTGTTTCCCCAAACGTTGAGCCTTTCCTTTGAAGTCGCCTGATTTTAACTCGACACAGTGATGCCAATATCACATACAGTACAGTATGCACAGAAATGTGTGTCTAGACGTGCAGTATTTACAATGTGCACATAACATCTAATTTACCTCAAATAGCTGAAACACTTCTACATCTGCAAGCCATTGTTGTGCTGGTATAGTCCTCTTTGAAAGGGAGTGCAGGGTTTTTAACGAGGGAGGAAAAAAAGAGGACCACAAGGAGCCGGACCGGTGGTTTTATTGGCTGTTTGCTCAACTGTGTGCTGTTGTGGTCCCATCGTCTTCCTGGTGGGGGGAGTGGGTTGGAGCCAGAGGAGAGATGTACATTTAAAGAAATGAATTTGGTGTGCCAAAAAGAAAGTGGCGGAGTTGATGAGATCACTTCAGTCAATACCCTCAGCCCCAAATCCAAAGAAGTCCAAAATCTCACCCGTAGCTCCCACTGTGACCTACTTACATCGTTTTTGGACCCTCCGCACTTTCCCAGAAGCCCCCTCCGCGTCGACGATAACAAGTCGCTCGCTAATTGCCTTCAGCAGCCAGACTCTTGGTAGGCTGTTTGGGCACCTCGCTGAGAGCCTTCGGGACGATGGAAACGCGATCTCTGTGTGAAAAGTTAGCGACATGCTGAAACGATCCCTCTCAGGGAATGACAATAAAAGCAGAGGGACCCACTGCACGTTCTCCCTTATCCCTTTAATCCCATTTCCCTCTACCCGGCGAACAGTTTGACATTGAAGGACTTTTTTTCTTCTTTTTTTTGAAAGACACGGAACAACACTGAAACCGAACAGCAGCAGTGAGGTTAAAGTAATTATAGTCGCGAGCGTTTTACATCAACCTGCTGTGACCTGCTCTACCAGCTAAAGCAAGTGTCTCCAGGGCTCATATTACATTTTGGCACTGACAGGTTGCCCATCGTACGCCAAACGATCATACGTCTTATTCAGAACTCTCTGAACCAGTGGTCTTGAAAACGCCGAGCCAACATACCTCCTCTGGCTAACACGCTGCCATCTCCACCAGCCCGCGTGTGATGCTGCAGCAGGGAAGGCCCGATGCCGGTCGGTGGCCAGAGAAGAAAGAGCGCGCAAACCTTTTGATTCTTTCGATGTAACGTCTGTCATTAAGGCCGCCCCGCCACCTATACCTTCCCCCAAGCAGATTAAGTGTGCACCGTTGTTGTGGGTCCTTCCCCTCTCATTTACGTGACCCACTTTGATGTCTGAGGTCTCGTGTCCGCCGGGTAACTCTTTTAATCCACTGAGCAGATGCTCATGGGAGCGCCGGTGGTGGTGCTTTGTGACTAATAAAAACAGGCTCCATTTCACTGCCTTTTCATTAATTCTTTGGCAAAATGATGAAATGTGTTGGTTAGTAATTGCCGATGGTCCGAGGGACGAGGACGTGCCAGGCGATCCTCACGGTTATGAGTATAACGACTTCCCCTCGTCTTGATTCCAAATGAAAACCACGGCTCTTCTGAGCGAAATACAAAAAGGTCTCTATTACTCTTAACAGGACCAGAGCTGCGGTAGTACGTAAAGTTCTTTCACTCGGTCAGTTAATCCCTTGCGGGTTACAAGGAGAGTTAATGTGCAATGTACAGGTTAGTGCTCCGAAATCATGAGCCTGTGACTCACTTAAATCAAGCCAAAATTCAAAACTAAGGTAGAAAGAATGCAAATACTCTCATACATTCATCCTCTGATATGTGCTTCCTTGTTTTTCTGTCTTCTGTTTGACATCGTCAGCATGCCAATATGCATGTTGAATTCATCCCAAATTGATATAATCAGAAAAATCTGGTCTTTTAAGTGGGAAAAGAACTCTAGTGTAACTAATCACTATTAAGGGCTAACGCCCCAAAACCTGATCCAGTTTTTAATAACGTACTCTTGCAGTACCACAAGTGGAACGGTTTAAAAAGCCAATGTTTTGTAAAGTCAATGCTAGCTAACGTTAGCTGGAACACCAAACAATTCTCCCCTCTGGGATGATTTTCATCTTTGATTCGACTTTGACTTTTGATCAGTTATGAATAGTTTTCCCCTCTAGTGCTCTGCATTGCGCTCCGTCACTCGCCGCCTTGAAGGCCCTGAGGACTGTCATGTCCGACGGCTCCCACAGCTCCACGGCGATGGCGTGCGCACGTGAGTCAGCAAAAAAGACAATTTGGCGTAGCTCTACACGTGAAAGCGTTAGACCCAAAGAGTCATAGGATAACGAAAACAGGTTCTGAGAAACAAAATGTGACAAAATGTGGTCAACTTCCGGTATACTTACTAAACCTTATGTAACAAAGTTACGTTAACTACATAAAACATTTGGGCGCATTAAACGCATATATTAATGCGTTAATGTTGAAAAATGAAACAATATAAACAAAGGAGATAACAACGTTAAAACACATTTGCACAGAGGTGAAAAAAATGGTTTTTGATTTTTAGAAATATAAAAAGCGACTAAATCCTCAATTTATATGGAAGTTAACCTGCTACGTGAAGCGGTCACCACTAAGATCCAGAAAAATGGCCTCCGCTCTGACCATCCTGCTGTGTTGATTCGATTGGATTTTAGTCCACTCTTAAATGTGGGTAGCATGGCAGCAGTGCCAAGCCGAGGGCCCCCAAAGCTGACATCTCATGCTCCAAAAGTTGCAGTCCTGCTTCTCAATGCGCAATACGTCGAAATTGATGACAGTTTATGTCTGTCTATGACAGAAGGTTACCCGGCTGCAATCAGAGCTGCTCACACACATATCGACGCACAGCCGAAGGCTGCCAAGCAAAGCGACTGTTTGCTACCAGCAATCCCTGCAGAGTCATAAACACTGCAATTTGCACAATTGGACAAATTAGGCAGTTGAATTTAAAGGGGCCCGTTGTTTGTGAAAGAACAAGAGGCGGTTCTTCGGTGGCCCAGCCGGACCATGTGTTGATCCGGGTCGGGCAGGGCAACATCTGCTCAGCAGGCACATGACCTCAGAGCTGTCCCGCGCTCCTTTCCGCTTCAGTCATGGCAGCTCGCAGGCAGTTGGCTGCTTGTTATCCGCACCCCGCACCACATGACACGAGGCATCTGGGTCGAACTTTCTCAAGACGACAATACGTTTCGGTACCGACTGCAGACGTTTGACTGGTCCAGCTGCTGCATTTAAGTTCAGTGCCTCAATGAATTATTTCTCTGTTGTGCAAGGTGGTAGTGATTAGGGCCAAATACCTCCCCGGGGTGCACATGAATGGCCCACTGTACTTCAGGCCTCTCAATTGCACCAGCATGCTATTTGACTGAGTTTATCGTGAGGTGTACTAAATAAATCTGAGGTAGTCGGCAAAGACGCAGGCTGCATATCACATGACCACAGTCTGTTCTTGTAACATTTGTGCAGAAGGCTGATTGGCTGGAACCTCGTGTACGTCTCATGTGTCAATTCAACAATTGCCAGCACGCGTCCATCGCTGTCTGGGAGTAAAGTAACAACTACTTTCATGCAACATTCTCTATTCGTAAGTTGTCCACCCAGGTCTCGTGGGTCAAGGTCTGAGACAATAAAAGAAGTACACTGTGTCACAAAAAAACATCTATTTTTGGATAAAAAGAACCCACAATAAGAGGCTCCTTTTGGGCTACAACGATTTTATCAATAGCGTTTCTGTTTTGGTCTTCCACTAAGGACCATAAATACAGAAAAGTACAGCTATATTGGTGGAACAGGGTCAATTTGGGAATTAATATATTCTGTAGCCGTTATGATAACATCTATTTTCATATTTTAAATCAATGCCCTCCTCGATCTACGATTAGACGTCCTCTTTTTCGTAATCACAACAAAATATATATGATTCTTTATAATATACCCCTTTTTTTTGTAACAACAAACGATCTCACTTCTCAGAAAGACTTGTAGTTAAAGTGCAGCCCGACACGTTCTTTCCAACGAACAAATGGTCCTGTGTGCAATTTGACTCACGACTAAACAAAAGGCACCTTAACCTCCCCAACCTCAATGCCACGCGGTAATCCAAATCTAAAAATACTCGCAAAGGGTCCCGAGGAGCTGCCGTCAAGCGGTGTTTAGTGTGCTATCCGCAGGTTCACATGGCTTTGCATTCAGGGCAGAGTGCACCCGGCACTGCAGGGATAACTGAGCCTGAGCGCTTCTGTCGCTAGGCTAACCGCGCGCGCGCCTCACACCCAGGCGGCAGCCTTTGACTCTGAAAAGTGACGTCGATGCGGAATGGCCTCAAACTTGCATTCGCTCTAGTGGCCAGCGAGGCTATGAGAAAATGACCCTACTCCCTTTACATATTGCCTTATTAAACAGGAGTTTATGGTCTTCCTCAATACAGCATGAGTAGAATAGACTCCATGTTTAGGGTGTGGCTACCTTGTGATTGACAGGTCGCCACCTCGGCGTTGTACTCGAGGTACTTGAGTTGTCTACTGTATCAGTACAGTAATATTTTGTATCCCTTTCACGCTGTGTTTTTAGTTTGTAAGTTGATTTTGCTTGAAAACGTCTATTAAAAAAAGCGTTGAGTTAAAGGTTACTTCCCCCACACAAGTTATCAAGTAATCCACGCCAGCTTCTCCTGTAGCTGCTCGACTGTGTTTTGCATTTCTAGTTCGCTTGGATCTCTGTAAATGAATAAATGATTAGTGAGCAGCTTCTGGCTTCCAGAACGAGTTCAGTAAGGGGAAGAAACTTCAAACCCTCCTTGATTCTGTTCCTCCTAGCAGATTAGCTGAAAGCTACTCTTAAAACAGCCTGAATGCTGCTCAACAACCAGCTCTGGAGGCGCTTGGCCCCCACGTACCACTTCCTGTTTTCCTTTCCCAGGGCAAGAGCTGCTCCGAGACAAGTGTCTGAATGCGTTACCGTGATGGTAACCATGGCGCCGTGAAAGGCCTCCCGTCCTGGCTTCTGGGCCTGTGCCCCCGCGAGCAGCCACTCCATCCGTTACGGCCCAGTGACAGCGGCTGTTCGCACTCCATCTCGCCTGGAACCGGCCAATCGGCGGCGGCGACGACGGGGGAATGCTCGGCTCCCCTCGCCAAAACGTTGCCGCTCTCTAGGTTTCATCAGGTGGCGGCGCGAGTCAACGCAGGCCTCCTGTGTGTTTTTGGATGGGATTTGTTTTGGACACGCAGCGATGGAGGATTTGCACGCGTGCGTGCGAGCGTCCGTGAGGCCCGCGTGCTGCCGAGCGCACAGATGTTTCTTTCAGTGTTGCGCGCAGAGAAGAGCCGAGGAAAGGGAAGGAGGCCAAGTAGATGTCCTTGGAGCGCGTTGAGCGTGAGCGGCGCCTTTAAATGAGATAACGGCATTTACTCGACGCCCCCCCCCTCCCACTCCTCCTCAGAGAGTGCGCCACGGTCATTTGAAAGAGGTGGGTGGTGTTGGTGTTGTCGTTTCTCTCGGCAAACCCCCCCCCCCACGACAACCCGGTTTCGTTACGTTCGCACAGTCTTTTCAAGAGCGACTTACTCCCCCATGCAGAGTTTTACACGGGCCGCGGTGCTGGATGAAAGGCAAATTTATCTCTGTGGCAATACGGCTGATAATATTTCCTGTTTATGTAGATGAAAGCCTGTGTAAAGCGTGGTAAAGCAGACTCAAGTGATCATCGCAGCATGAGAAGGTGTAGATAGCGAATCGGCTCAACTTGCTTTGCAAATTGCGGGAGCCGGGTTGAGCAAAGGGTCGGCTGGAGGATTTGCTTTCATCCCCATCCGTGTCGGCGTGGTGGAGTTGGAGGCTGATGTGTGTGAGACTCGCTGCGCTGCCTGTCTTTTGCAGTTTGCAAAGCGCAGCAGCAGCAGCTGCAGGGCTGTGTCGTTGCGAGGCCATCAGAGCATCGTCTGTTAAACAGCCAGCCATCAGGATTTTGGGGAAAATCACAATATATTGGTGAACAGAAATGATGTTGTATTCTGTTTCTTGATGATTCCAGTGCAGTTCAAAATCGCTGCTTTTATCCTCCAACAACGTGGGACCGATTACAGATTACAAAGGTGTGAAAAGCCAAAGGCAAGCTATTTATTAAAACCCGGTCATTGTGTGGTCATTGGTCATTGTCCTCTTTGTTGATTGATGCAATTACAGGGCTCGGCCTTTCCAGTCAAAGGCCGTGGTCATGTGACATCAACAGCAGACAAACAAAGCTGCAGCCCCCGTCTAAATGCGTCACTCATCATCTCAATTTTAGACCCTGCGGTGAATCTGGTCCATTGTTGACTCTAAATAAAATGCAGTCTTTTTTTGTTTTTTTGGTAGGGTTGTGTTTGGTAGTCGACAGCTAGTAGATGTGGTAGTCGGCAGGCTGTTTGTTTAGGGCCCATTACTTTGCATCTGTGTTCAACAAGCAGCTGTTAAGCTTCCCTTTGACTCCAACCATTGGCTCACTTTAAAGCAGGTATATCGTTTTCATCATTTTGGTTAAGCGTGTTAGGATAAGGATTGCTAATTAGCACTGAACAGTCAGTCATTTTGTTCTGGGGTTCTGGGGGCTGGAGGGTTGGAGGTAATCCGAGATAAAGACCGGGTTCAACCTGGACTGGTCATGTTTCAATCGCAGGGTTGACATGGAGACAACCATTCAGTCTCACATACGTACACATACCTATGGGAGAGGTAAGGCTGGCGCATGCTTCTGCGTCTGCGTCTTTACGCACCGTCGTGTCGACGCACTCGTTTCAATTCATGGTTCTAAAGTCTTGCGTGTGTTGCAGAGCAATTCACCGCTAAAGACGACCTAGAGAGTCACGTCTTTGTGTGTGGAAGTTGTTGGTTTGTTTGTTTTAATCATACACTTTATTGCCCCGTGCATCGCTACTGTTGTTTTCATCGCGGACACATTTGTCCCGTATTTTCCTACACAACTTTGTTCCCCTCGACCGGCAAACCAACGTTTGCGAGATCTTGTCACACCTGTATGTCAAGTTGGGTTTTTGTCCCGTCTCCATGTTTGTTTTGTGACTTCCTGTTTTATTTTGTAAATGAACTCTCCTCTCGTTTCAGGTTCCTCAGACCTTCCTCATGTGTCACCGGTCTGATTGTCTTCCCTGATTCCCGATTGTGTCCACCTGTTCCCACACTTCCCTCATGTGTACTTATAGTCTGCATCTCCACCTTGTGGTCTCCTTAGTCGGCCTTGTGCCATTCATGGCTCCACAGCTCCATGATTTAGTTTAGAGCCTTTTTTTGATTTAGTTTTGTTATTTCTTCTGTAAGAGGAAAGACATTTGGGTTTTTCTTTTGGTAACTATTCAGCTCTCTCAGTTTTGCCAGAGCATTTCCCCGTTCATCTTCCCTGTGTTTTTTGTTGGACAATAAAAACGTCAGTTGAACCTCAACTCTGCGTCCGAGCCCTCCTCAAGAGCTCTGTCCTTATAGTCCGCCAATGACGGCTTGTAGAAGTGGTCATATTTACGCATTTCTTCCGACAAAAGTTTGATCTGATCCGTTGTCTTGTAAAAAATCTTTGTTTTAATAATGGCGGTATTGGAATGCTATGAGGCTATGAAAACGGAAATGTGAGACTCCGTAAAGGATTTAGTTAGCGGACCAATCACAGCCTTGCGAGCTGCGGGAAGCCTCAAGAAAAATGGGTCGACGCACGCAAGGGACACGCAAGGGGCTCTTGCGTGTCCCTTGTGTGTGCGTGTCCTTGCGTCACTCTGAAAATGCAGAAGCATAAAGTAGGCTTAAGAGTCACCATTTAATCCAACCAGCAGAGCATGTCTTTGGACTGTGGGACCCAAGACCTTCTTACTTAACCCAACTAAACACCCTACACCCAACGTACTGATGGGAATACTATGAAGTTTTTGCACAATAATGTGAGTCTATGAGACTGAAGACCATGAATGTTAGATCTGGCCAGGAGCAGTGACATCAATAGACATAGTCTCTACAGTGAGATTAATTAAAGGGCTAATTGAGTTGTCTCTGTCCGGGGCTTTTCCATCTAGAAAGTTCCTTCCCAGAAGTTGACTGTCGCCCCCCCCCCCCCCCCCTCCCCCTCGCTCCCCTTTCGAATGACCCTGGGAGTTTGACTGAATCATTAGGTAGCCGGGCTACGGCTTTTACAAGGCTCTCACTGTCCGGGAGGCCACAGCCTGGGGATAACTTCATTTGCGTCCTCTCACCAACTCCCCGTCTCTCTGACTTTCTCCCTGGCAGCAAATGCAGAAATGTAAAATGAGGAATCTATTGTCTGAACTACCTCGGTGGGTTTGTTTTTTACCCCCTTTTCTTTATCAGAAATATGTTAAGTTAAAGTATTGGAGCATGCCGCAAGGGAACATGTTTACTTTACGTTTACGTGTACGCAATACGTTTTTCTTAGAAAGACCTTTTGTTCATCCGAGGACGAGGTCAGGGAGTTCAATCGCTGTAGACAAACTTGACCTTTTACAGCATCTTGTTGTGGGACGCAACATATGATCATGTCTCGTTGTTCTTTGTTTCCCCAGGCGGAGTTCTCGGAGATCAACCTGGCCTCCTACGTCAACTCGGGATGTATGGTGGACATGCAGGTCAACAAAGGTGGCACCAGAGTGGTCAGGTAGGATGCTCGGCGGCGAGGGGGGAGAGCGGGTGTTGATGCAGTTGCCCACGCGGCCCGTTTGCTGCCTGAATGAGCCTGCACAGTGACTCCTGTTCTCTTCTCTGTTATATAACAGCAGTAATGGGATTATGCCATGAGGGGAAAAATATAAATACCACCTGTCACATCTCAACCCTGTGTGACGGGTCGTGTTAATTCAACCTGTCGACCTTTTGCACATGTGTTCCAGCTCTGGTTCCCTTAACGTCACCGTGATGCTATCGCAAACGGCGTGTGATGCAACCAGGGGTTTGAGTTAAGCATCCGATCAGCGATCTGACAGCACCGATAATTCCAATTAGGCCATGTGTTGAAGGCCAGGTCTCTTGGCAACCAGGAAGGCAACACCCTTCTTTACAGCCATTGTGAGGCTCTTTCACCTTGATACCAGTTGTCACAGTCAAACTAAAAACACAGATAATATTTTTGGGTGGTTTGTGTATCTGAAAAGATCGTCATGAAGTGTGTCCTCTGGGCAGCTCCAGGATCAGCAGCTGTGAGCTCCGTGGAGCCGGGTGTTTAAATAGGCCACTCTGGGATGTGATGTTGCTGCTCAAGGAGATCACTGATCAGCTGATGTGGTCCAGCGTCATCGATGCTAAGGGAGACAAGAAGCGTTGAGGCGCCTTTCCTTCAAGTCGAGATGACCCTACCAGCTCTCCCGGGTCATCTCACGCATTCAGAACCTTTTGGTGTTTTTGCTTCAACTCACAGTGAATTATTACTATTATTGAATCTCTTAATCAAGGTGAAATCAAGAGAGGGTGATCACAGAGCGGGAGCCTTCATTACAATGCAGCCTGTTGCCAGATTGGACCCAGAGGTCATTGTTTATTTAGTTGTAGCGATGGAGAAGCCAAATTGGCTGCAGATGGTCTCACCGCGCGGCCACGTTCACGTCCACTGCCAAGCGCTTTTCGCCTTGTTGTTTACTTCTCTGAACTGAACAACAAATCGTGTAAGGAGTCTGCAAGCGGTCATGTCCTAAATCACAGCGCATTAAAGTTTATGATTTTGTTTTATTCTCTGCCCGAAAAATGTTGTAATAGACATAAGACAAAACACTAGTTTCCCAAAAACAAACAAAACATGCTCTGTCTGATTGGGTTATTGTGTGTGTGTGTGTGTGTGTGAGAGAGATCATGGGATGCTCACATGCGCAGCCGCGCGTTTACAGTGTACTGTGTGTTCAAAGCAGCTCCGAGCTCCTCCATGTGTCCTCTGGCTGTTGTGTTCTCAGTGCTCTGACCTTTGACCTTGCATCCACGCAGCACTTGTTCTCACTCGCGTTGAATCTACTGCATCGCGAGAGGGACCCGATTGACGATGATCTTCACATCCGATTGTGAGCGCTGACCAAGTAGAGCCGCTCCCTCTTAGTCGCTGAGTCGACTGGTCGGACTTATTTAAAATGTGCTTTTTTGTGGTTATGACGTCATGCTCATTGAGCCCTCATGGTTGCGGTGACTCACATATTCTCAAAGCTGGTTTGGACCGCCTGCTGACTCATCACTTGCCACTTGCCCCTCTTAACCGGCCCCCTGCCGGTATGGGCTTCTGGTGCCCATCTACAGCTCAGAGCACTGTGGACCCCCAGCCGCTGCTAAGGAGAAAAATTTTGCTCACATTTATGATCCTGAAAGGTGTGCTAACAGCCAACTTAACCACTGGCTGTAGTTTTTGTCTTGCTTTTGCACCTTTTTCAGTAAATGTGTCTACATGCATTTGTCTCCAACCGGAAAGCTGTCAAACCGTGTGAATGCACGGCTCCACAAATCTGATAAAACAAGAACGTGCATACAATGTGTGGCTATACGCACCCACGGGTTTCTGGGTTGTGAACATGTGCAGAGTTGTTGTGTTATTTCTTATTGGAATGCGTTTCCTTTTGTACATCACTTCCATTCGTGCTTTCCTCACAAATCTGTCTCGTTTACCCGCTGAGCCGAAACAACGGAACACAAAGATGCACGCTTCCAGCGCAGTGGAGCGTGCATGCGGCCGCTGCTGAATGCGCGGCGCCGCCCTGCGAGGCGCAGTGGTCACGGCGGGTTGTTCCCTGCCGCACTGCTGCAGTCAGCCCTTTGGCTTCGCCCGCTGCCAAAACCCTTCTGGAGAGCTGCTCGGCTCCGACTGGAGACCCTGGTCTGGCTGAGAGGCGGGGCCACAGCAGAGCCACGCCTCCCCCCCCTTCCATCCCCATCCCAGGACTCCTCGGTGCGGTTATCCATCCATTGTCAAACCGCTTATCCTGCACACAGGGTCGCGGGGGGGCTGGAGTCCCTCCTACTTTATGGCGAGGGATGGCAGCGGGGACTTTGTTGAGCTCGTTTTACTGTTGCACTCAGAGGAAGCGGTTATGGGCTATAATGTGGATGTGAGGGGAAAGTTTCCATCATGCAACGCTGGACTCTCGGAATAAAAAACATATATTGCTCTTAGTGGCCTAATTAACACTAACTGCTCGTGTTATTGTGCCTGTGGGGACACTGATGCCGTCAGTAACACTAAATTACAAGGAAACTAAGCAGCTTTTGTCCCAATACACAGCAGGCAGATTGCTCATATTGCTCTTAAGACACTTGATATGAAGATTCACAGCGAGAACCACCATTTAGTTCACAAGTGATGAAAAATCACACTGAAGTGCCATTTAGTTTGACTTAATTTATCTCCACACGTTGATGTCTCGGTGGAAGAAGGAGGGCTTAAGCCGTTTTTATTCGACATAGAGGTTGCGGCGAGCAGTGAAGTGAAGATTTAGCTGGGTGGATTTTTTAAAAGTATAACAGTACACTGGTTTAAATGTCCAGACACCCAATTAGTTATATATTTATTTTTTCAACCACGGCTGCGTCAGATTCCTCGCCATTTTCTGACCCAAAGGAGGAGCGCAAAGTCTCAGCTAGATTACATTAGCAGATCATTGTGTGAATCTTTTGGTTCTCTCTTAATTTAATTTTCTGTCCTGAAAGCAACCGGTGTCAGCCAGATGGGGCCGACCCTCTTTCCTCTTTCCAATTACAAACACAGAACAAGACTCTCCTCCTTTGGTTACCTCGGGTGACAATTTACTGCTGAGACCACACACAAACGGTTCTCTCACACGCACAAATACAAGCTTAAACACTCCCCAACACTCTCTCCACTTTCGAAAGGCCATTTTAATCAGTGAAGAAACTGTCTGCCACAACACCCAATACCTCCGACAGGTTCATCTTATTACCGAGCGAATGAATGCGGCTCAGTTCAGACGTGGCTGCAGGCCTGTGAGTGCATTTCCTATGGAGCGCTGGTGACTGTACTGAAGGCACACAGAGTCCCACTCCATCCCCGCCTGTTTGTCATAATCATCCACGAGTACAAATGGCGGCGCATAATTGACACAACCGTAACGATAATGCTGATTTCCCCTCCCGCCATCGTTCACGGCGCTGTGGAGATGAACCCTGGAGTGCGACCGCAGCTGGAGTTGATCTAAAGCTCTGGCGGCCCCAGGCCGGGCCACCGCCCAGGATCTGAGGCGGCGCCAGCTCGGGCCCGGAGCCACCGGGGCCACAACCACAGGGAGCCTCAGATCCAGGCCAGGGGACCCCAGCGTGGGGCCGGGCATCAGGGAGTCATTGTACACACAAAACTAAGCTAACTTTCAAACAGCGGTGTCCAATATATACAAAATGGCATTGCTTTGAATGTTTACTTTTACAAGGTTTTCCATCAGAGGCTTTTCCAAAACGCACTCTTGTCTACTTTTTGATAAAACTCTGCTCAAACAATTCACTTTGTCCCTTAACGTCAGCCAAGTGGATCTCAATCCACCTGTTAAAATAAACAGAAGTGTAGATTTTGTTCCTATGAATCAAGAAGTTTTTTTTTTTTTATTGATGATGTTTATAATGCAACATAAGTGCACAAAGTTTTCATTAGCAGGGGCCAAAGTATTGTGAAATGGTCATTTCTAGACTGTTGCCAAAAGGTCATCCTTTTCATAAGTGGATCATTTAATTTGATATCTGTATTTCCTAAAATGTTGAACCTTTGTTCCTCGCAGCATAAAAACTATTTTTTGGTATGAGCCCAGATGTTTTTTACAACCATAGTGACCGTCCTTGTAACAGGAAAGCACAGATTTGTCCTTCTAAGGTGCATTTCCCTCAGATGACGCAGAGGCCATTTGGCACAATGAACCATTGTGTACTATTGCTCCGCTGCTCCTCAGTACGTACTGTTCCACATTCGTGGCATTCCCGCCAAGTTCTACCCAGTTTATCCTTATCATCGGGAGACAGACTGATGGAAGGAAGATAAGACCCGCACCAGGCTTTGAGCCAGGCACATGGCCGCTTTAAAGACAAATGCTCCGTACAGTTCAGACATCTCTGTGGAGCCCATTAGAAGGTCACAGATCCTGCACTGTAAATGGATCTGGACAACAAAATGGACGCATATTGTCCAGGGGTTCAATAGTTTGCTGCTCCAGGAATGCTGATGAAAACATCCTGTTGGCACTGTTGTACAGTATATTGTAGAATGGGCGTTCACAACTGTGAGGCCTGAAGTGTATTTATAACCAGACTGATACAAAGTGACGCAGCCCTTAAAATGATTTATTTGCCTTTTTACTTTATGGGCAATAATTATCTTATCATTTTTACAACAAAATAGCTGAATAAAAGTAATACAGTTTAAAGAGTCAATACATTTTCCAATCATATATAGTGACTCAAAAGAAAGCATAAGAGTTAAAAGGTTAAACATGTTGATTGGCACCCCTGGTGCATCATGGGCAAGATGTTAACAAGACTCAGTCCACATCATGAAGTTATAAACATTCACATTAGTGCTGCGTTTCTGGTCCCCTGAATACTTCACTTAAATACTTCACTTTTAGCGCATAGCGTCTTTTTAGCTGCTAAATGCTCGCGGTGGGCTCATCCTTCTCTGGGGGCTCCTAGTGAGCAGCCACTTCCACGTGCACGCCATTACATCAATGCATATTACACCTTCTCTGACTCAAGCACTACATCAACCAGATCCCCAGTGTCAAGAGTGGACCCATTGCCTCCCAATATCCTCATCCGACACCCTGATCTCCCCCTCCCGGTGCCTATATTGCACCTGCTGATATCCCATTGAAAGGTCGCATTAGCATATCGCCTGCCAACGGATGACCGAGGGGCCCCCAAGCGCTTCGGGTCGTAAACCGACGCAGCTGCCGCTTCAGTCTAATCCACCATCTGCGGGGAAGAACACGGTTTCGCCGTAACGAGGTAACGGGCGACCAACCTGCTCCTCTGCTATAGGGGCATTGGCTCCATTAACCCAAGTCAAGTGCAAGCCATCCCAGCGAGCTGAATGTCTTCTGCATCAGGCCTTTCTCACAAAGGAGTAGCAGCTGGGCGTGTGCGTGCATGAGCCTAGCATTGCGTAGAGAAAAGCCTCTTCCTGTGCTGTGCAAAACGTACAGCTTGTTTTGGTAACACAAAGGATAAGAGTTTGTCTTCATTAATGTACATCTGCACAAACAAGTTTGAAGATGTAACACTGGACTCATGGTTGTTTTTGATTTGATAAACCAATGGATCAAATAAGTAAGAACATAACTGGCATAACTTCATCATAATCGATCATATATAATAATTAGTTGAAGACCTTCTTGGATTCAAGCCTTTTCCTGATTGGAAAGCGGACGCAGCACCACGTCTTAGTTTTCCAGCAGTAGCGCAGGTGTATTCTCGCTCAATGTCTTTGCTCATGCGGCGCTGCACTTCCCTCGCACTCTCTCAGGCACCCTGTTGTTCTCCTTTAGACTGTTGGAGTTCCCGATAAATGCGCCGCTTCGGTCGACTGTTGAGTCTGCTTTGGTTTCTGCAGCCTCAATAAACTGCTCCATCCTGTATAAATAGCAGACTGAGCGCAGCGGCGGGAAGGAACAGCTGTAGTCGCTCTGTCGCCAAGGCCGGATTGCTCCTCGGCCAGCGCGCTGCCCGTGCTGTCTGAAGTAAGCAGCACTCGTGGACTCGAGGGGCGAGGACACGTGGACACGAGGGCCCGGCTGGCACCCTGCGGCCCCCTGAACGTCCTGTGTGCGTGTGAACGGGGGCCTTTTGCATGTTTTTGTTGTGCATGCGGGACGTGCAGGTGAACAGTAAAGTAATCAAGCAAGAGCTTCACAAAAGAGTGAAGCTGCTCACACATGAAAGACATAACAGGCTACAATTATCTATAGCTTTAGAGTTACAGTGGATATTTGTAATATACAAATATCCTCACTAAGAGTCATCCGCCAACGCCGCTTTTCCTCACCGCTCTACGGGGAGCGGGCGGCCGTCTGAAATCTGCATGAAAAGTCACGATCACGAGAAGCAAATTCCACTTGATTGTATGTGTATACAAAAGTGAAAGAGTACATTGTTTACAGTTATTTACAGAATAGAGATGTGCAGCGTAGAAAGGATATATAAATGGTTAAATAAATAACACTTGCTGGATGACATTTTGGACGACAGGAATCTCAAACCTGCATCCAATCTGAAAACAGCTCAAACATGGAAGGCTGTCAAAGTGAATTTCCTGCGTCAATGTGAAATGCGGGCTGCTTTGAATGAGGGCTCCAGGTGCCTGGCGGGTCGCTTGGCTTCGCTCCCAGAACAGTTTGTAAAGGAAGGCTTAGGCCTGCTTTAATTGGGCGGAAGGTCCAAAAAGATGAGGTGCACGGAGGAGCTTCCATTGGATGAATGATGGAGCCCTCGACTGTAAACACCAGACCCAGATGCAGCGCATCAACGCGCCGACGGAGCCGCTGGCCGCGCAGTCGGGTCGGATTTCTAAACAGAAAGGGGGATTCTCCTAAAACTGTCTTCATATATTCATGTCCAAATGAGCAAGATTTGCGGCCTCTTCTGACACTCAAAGGACAGCTCATCCAGAAGGGCGACGCGTGATGGGATGGCGAGTCGAACGTCTGAGTTGAGGTCGGCATGCCAACCGCTCTATGAAAGCTCGTTCGATTTTATTTATCGCATTGACCGGAAGAGGAACAATCAGCAAACCCACACTTCTCTCTGCACCGTCTTCATTTTGACATCCTTCTTATTGCAGGTCCTTCAAGCCGGACTTCGTCCTGGTCCGCCAGCACGCCTACAGCATGGTGCCCGGGGAGGATTTCCGGAACCTTGTGATCGGCCTGCACTTCGGAGGCGTCCCGGGCAGCAACTCTCTCTTCTCAATCTACAACTTCTGCAGCAAACCGTGGGTGGTAAGTAATCTCATAGTATATCGAAGTATATCGATTCCCTTCCCCATGTTGGATCTCATGTTCCACCTACAGTATATGCAGCTTCCTTGTGTTATGGTCCGGCTCAAAGGCCACAACTAATAGAAGAAACCACGCTACAGGGATTACCAGCCAACGATGTTCATTCTCCAAAGTAATCATTAAGCCAACGAAACACAGCAAACGAAACCACCATTGTGCTGGGGAACAGGAGAAAGCCAGCAGTGGCGCCCGAACACTCAGAAAGGGGCAGGTTTTAATGCACTCAAGAGACGGTGGCCAGCTGCGTCTGATCTGCCTGATGCCCTCAGCTCCACCAGGAAGTTCACCCTGTAACACACACAGACAGAGACACACCCACAAATACCCTGGCAGTGGCCCTGGGGCCGGCACACTTGTTTGACAAAGCATACCGTACCTTTCTTCTATTGTCATGCTCCCAATGTTAATATCTTTCTTTTCTCTTTTTTCCTGCTTGCAGTTTTCTCAGATGATAAAGCTCTACCACTCCCTCGGCCCTGAGAAGTTCCCCCTGAACGAACAAACCTTCTATCCCAATCACACGCAGATGGTGAGTGCCCGTCTGGTCCTTTGTTAATACACGGCAGAGAAAACACAAGCAGGTCCACACACTGGTCCGTTTTTCATTAAATCTTTATTATAAAAATATAAAACACAGAAATTAAGTCGACCATTTCTATGACCTCTACAAGGACCCTTCCACCGCCCCCCTCTCTACGTGCACACACACCTCGGGGATCTGTACACAGCTTGCTTGATTGGAATTTTTTTTGTAAGGATCGAACTTGACCAAGGGTTTCTGTGTTAAGCAGACAGTATATTTACACAAACATGAACCACAGAAATAGTGACACAGAACCGCCCCAGCTGGAGGAGAGGTCTCGTCAACACGTATAAAGACAGAAAGGACATGTTTTGTATGGAAATAAAGCTCTACTGGCGTGGATTTGTTGGTAACTAATTGTAGCCAGTTAAAAACGGCGCGGTACAGACTCAACTCAGGCCGAAGATTCGTTATCAAGAGGAGGTTGACAGGTTGAAGACCATTCAGACTCAAAAAAAGACGCAAAATCTTGGCCAATATGAAGTCAATGTCAAACTGCTCTTTTGAAAACGACAACCTGGTCAAAGCTACTGGGCTCTAACGCTGTAAGATAATCTACGTGTTACTGACGTCATAAATCTGAGTCTGCTCATGGAATGGACAGAAGGTAAAGCACTGAAAAAAGACCTTGATGGGAACAGGTGACTGAGAATGAATTTGGTGACATTGTTACTTTGATTGATTTTATATATATATATATATATATATATAGTCCATTTGAAATAGTTAAATAAAAAAGATTCTTACAAAATATGTCTGAAACCTCTGCTTACACTTGACTTTCATTGGTGAAGAGTACCAGTGAGGGGGACTAGGATAAGCCAACAAAGAAAAGTACCATGTGTACTAGACTACTGGATACGCTGGTCCTTCATTCTGGACGCTTGCACAGGCTGCGATGGTTGTTTCAAAAGTAGTTTTGAGTCTATTTTTTATTGTCTATGCAGATAATACCACGTGTACTCCAATAATCATATAAATAAATTCATTAAAGAGGTTTCAGTTGAATTGATAGTCCATGTCTGTAGCTTATGTTATATACAGCAAAAAATAAAATATCACCATCTCTGTAAGAAGTGTTTTTTTTCTTTAAAAAAAAACATAAAATAAATTGTGTAGTATTCAGAGATCTTACCTTACATTTGCACTCAATCTGCATTGTTGATGTGGAGTCTAATTCTAGCAAGTACAGTTCAGTAGCAACAATGTAATCACTTTACATTTATACATTTACATAATGATCATTGGCTTGTAACGACGATAATGATCATTAAGTTCATACAGCTTTCACTGATTGAAATGAATCTGATTGATTGTGAACTTTAGTTCTGAGGGTCCATTTAAAGGATGAACTGCCTCAATGCACAAAATGACAATAATACTGGGTTAGCGGTAGGCTAACTGCAGGTTGCTAATAAAACGGGGCTTATTAAAAAAATAGATCCTTGGGAATTAGTTAATCAACTCTTAAGTTCCAATGGAGGTTTGATCGCGGTCTTAAACTGGTTATTGGTCTTATGACTGGCTGTCTTCATCCCGCGTTTAACAGCACTGAAGAGACCGTTTGTTTGCGATGACTTTGATTCACGCTTTGGAAAAACGTTTTCTATCAGTGCTACGGAGGAGGCACTGTAATGGACGGGGTCTTTTCTCTTTTGTTGCCACTTTAAAAGAGGCCGTCACCAACGCAGGTGAGCTGAGAGAGTCCTGCAATTGTGTAGGCAGGAACGGGTGGGGACAGGATCAGGGAGGCGGGGGAGGGAGAAGGGCGGGTCCGTCAAAGTTCAGGGGTCGGTGGCGTTGATGGTTGTTTTGTCGCGTGAAGCCATGCCCCGGTACCAGCTGCAGTAGCCCTCCTTCTGCTGGATGCAGGCGTAGTGCCGGGACTGGTAGCCCGGGTAGCCGAAGTGGGACAGCATGTCCGTCCATAGGCACTCGTTCTTTGAGGTAACGAAGCAGGGCAGGTAATGGCAGGACTTGATCTACACAGACAGAGGGGAAACCGAACATGTGGCCATGTAGCAGGAAACCAAACTGGATACTAGAAAACGTATAATTATTCATAATCTATTCATGAACTTGTTGAAGCGAAGCGTAGATCATTTTGATCATTTTGATCATTAAAGAAGAGTACATCATTTTGTTGAAGTATAAAAGCGCATCAAGGATTTGCTGCTTTCAGCTTTTGTTTTCAGTCCCTTACTGCAGCAGATTAATAGATGAGGTGTCAAAAGGAAGCTTTTTACAACAACTATTTCATTTGAAATAAATTAGACTAATTTAAAACTCATTTTAAATAATTAATGGAAACCAAATAAGCGTATCCTGGCATTCATATGCTTTGTGCTGTGGAATGTTAAATGAATGTCGACCATCGTCCTGAAGCAGGCATGTTCTCGTAGTTTCTCGGTGTTTAAATTTAGATTTTGCTCCGCGTCTCTTGTGCGTCACACCTCCTGGTGCTCGCACAAAAAGACTGACAGATGAATATATACGGCTCGAATTGACAGGAAAAGTGGTGTTAACCACTCGGGGAGTTGATGAACGGATGCGCCGTGTTTAGCTTGCATTTATCCCAAGCTGAATGAGCCGGCAAATTCAAAGTTAGAGGGCATACTTCTCTTTTTGGGTGTTTTTGTTATTCAAGCCTGGAGAGTGCTTCCTGCACAGTTCACAGACGTTTTGGCGTGACTTCCGAGTCTCTTGATGTGTGAAGAATCATTTCTAACCGGGGCGACGCGCTTCCTGCGTCCGGGTGCAGTAAATGATCATTATGCGGAGGAATGCGGAGGCCGGCGCAGCGCGTTGGAATAAGTGTGATGATGTTTACGCCTGCATGTGCTTACTGACTTCTCTGGATGCCTCCGGGCTGCTGCCCCTGTGTACGCAATGGAGCAGAGTTTACAGGGCTCCGTCTCCCTGCCAATCCTCTCATACTGATAGGGGCCGATGGAGTTAGCAGATGTTGCTGTTGTACAGTAGGACGTTTACGAGGCACAACAGCTGCGTAGCGGCAGGCCACATGTTTTCAGTCGCAGGGGAAAAAACAACGAAGAGGCCGATTCCAGCGTTGTGATTTAACGACTCCCAGCGATCGCTCTAAAACTTTGTTTTCTCCCCGCGTTTCTGTCTCCGCTTAGCGCCCGTGAAGAATTAATGTGAAAATGAGGCTCACGATTCGCAACAACATCCTCAAAACCGCGAAGAACGAGCGAATGGTGGAACAGGAGCATTAATGAGCCGGAATTGCTTCACACACAAAGGCACTTGTGTTGGAAGCATTTCCTTCCACCTGTAATCACTTAAGGAGCTCCCAAGTGAGCTTTTGGTTCCGTGGTTATACGTTTAGTTTTAAAAGCGCCTCCTCTCTGCTCATCTGTCTGGTCCTTTGCCGTGCAGAGGTTGCTGGTTTCCACTCACTCTGCATTTGCAGCCCAGCTGGTAGCGATGGTTGAAACCCTTCTTCTGGGCCAAGGAGAGGCGCTCCCATCGCTCGTTGAAGTTGCACAGCCCCGTGTAGACCTTGCCGTCGTACACGCGACCTGTTGGAGGAAAGAAAGGCGGGAGTGGGTTGACGCCTTGAGCCACGTTCCAATAGTTTCTCAGATATTTCAGTTCCTGCCCAACTGTTGCTGGTATCTCATGTTATTCTAATTTCATAAGCCTCCCGGTGTAACGTAGGAGAAAACAAACACGCCGCTCAAGCAATCAAACGTGTTTATCTACGGTAAAACAATCTCACAGTAAAGCCGTACTAAACCAACACCCCTATTTCTGAATTTTGAAAGGTCAGCAGACGTTTATTTTTAGCAACTGACTGTTTGCGGCGCACCGACAGGTGCGCAGCGGCGGCCTGCGACACCCTCGCGAGCATCGTGAATTGCCAAAAAAAGTCGTCTTCACCCAGAATTTGCCCGCTTAAAAAAAAATTGGCCTTCTTCGACCCCCCTGAACCAATCCCCCCTGCCTTATTACACGGTGTTGAGTGCTTGACATGACTCTCAAAGTACCGGAGCTCTCGAGGCTCAATCAAAAGAGAACCCGGTCTCCTTTATTGCCACTAAGGCACATGCAGGGACTTATTATAGGACCTTGAGAGCAGCGAATGACATTGGTGATGTCATTCGTCCCCGGACCGGGGTAAACAGAGTCGACGCTGCCCTGGCAACAGCGGCTGGTTCACTCTCACTGCGGGGTGCATCTTACAGGATTCACAGGACGAGACTCTGCGATCGTTATGCACCCCAAGCGCCGCAGGGTACAAAATACCATCTTCTCGTCGGTTGGAAATAGCAACTCGTAAAAAGCTTGTGCTGGAAAACGCCGGTTGCTTCCTGTTAGCTGGTAATGACAAGTTGTGAGAGAATTGCTTTCTGCTGTTTTTGTCCTGCAGTGTCAAGGGAATTTTTTCAGTTTGTTTTTTTAAAGGATCCCTGCTTTGCCTGCTTGCACAGTGGCAAATGGAATGGTGTACATACTACGTAGTGGGAAAGTTTGAGTCACCGGACAAATAAAAAAAGTCTCTGGAGAGGAGCGAAGCGTACTTCTGACCAAATCGGAAATACCAGATAAAACCAAAAGAGATTCTAGATACTTATTCAAATATTCCAATCCCAAAGTCATAATTAGTAACTAATTTACCATTCTTGAATGCTGCAGGATCGTGCAGGGACAGTGAGAAATTTGTGTGCTTCCGTTTTGGCAGCTTATTAAGCTTTGCACAGAGCTGTTTCTGTGAATGAGACTTTCTTGGGTGTCATCCTGAAACCATTTCTCCACTTGAGGGAAATGGTTGGAAAGCTCCAGGTAAAGCTAAAATGAAGGGATCCTTAGAGGTAAGAACGTCACTTTCCCATTATGCGACTCATATAGACGTTTGGTCAAAAACAATGTCCGCCATGAAGCTTACCTGTGATCAGGTACTGGTACTTGTTGATATCAAACTTCACGCCGCACAGACTCTCTGAGGCGTCCGTGTAGATGTGCTGCACGTGCTGGACCTTTTCGAATCCTTTGTACATCTGCGAGGAACACAAGAAGCTGGTGTTAGAACCAGAATAGAAAGTGGCATGTTGTTCCCTGCTCCGCTTCACTTAACTGTACGCCGGCTTTATCAGATGACATTCCCTCATAAACCTTCGATAAATCATAGATAACACAATCCCGTTGTTTAATGTTCTTTGACTTTGATGCTGTTTGGGCGAACCGGCCTTCTATTTGTGCCGGCTATGCTGGGCCAACAGTCGGTGTTTCCCCCGGGAACTGTTTTTCTACAGTTTCATTTATTTGTCTGGGAACAACAGGAAATCCCTGTTTAGACACATCGCCCGCGGAAAAACAGAACATACTGTTACTGAAGCCCGAAACAGCGGTGGTTTTAGGAAAGCCAAAGGCATTTGTCTCGTAGGATTTGTTGAATTTTGGAGGGAAGTGCATTTCTGTTATGGCCCACGAGAAAAAAACGTGTTTGAAGTGTAAACCAGCAGATTGTTATATAAATAAATAACCCAAGAGGTGCAGAGGTCACATCTAATTCCCTCGGGATCGTCCCAAACAGTGGTGATGGATGTGCTTCACCAACAAGAGGCCACTTAATGCTTTTGTACAAACTGGGATTGTACTGATGCAGCGCACCACTCTGTTGTTTACACTCAGAGCGAGGAGTTTGGTTGAGTTGTAATGCCCGTAAGCCTACTAATCCCCCGTCCTGGCTCCTGTCTGAGCGGCGGGCAGATGTTAGCATCTGTCCGAAATATGCAGCGTTACATAAGAATACAGAGGAAGTGAAGAGCGGGCTTTCATGCTAAGTATCTGCTTTTCAGCCGTCACAAAGCAGCTGAGGGGGCGGATAGGCCGTCAGTGTGTCACATTTTAAGGGTATTCTATAAATGGTTTAAATGTTTGTGTTTTAGACACATGCGAGGACCTAGTACCTATAAATCTGAATCAGAGAATTTATCAAGTGAGCACGACATCCAAAACGCTTTCTGAAACTATTGCTAATATGTTCCCCTACTATTCATGTCATTTGGTGAATGAGTAGCTATGATCAAATCGCATTCTGCGATATAGATGCAAGCATGTTCACTTTCTCGCTTTCTTTAGAGGGTTTGACAGGAAGATTAATGGCACTCCAGTAAGAGCCAGCCAGGGGGCCGTTAGCTTAGCGTAGCTTCGCTAAACACCTGATGCGTTGAGGAAGCTGCTAGCTTGGCTCTGACCGAGGGGAATTACAGCAAGTAATTATTACAGATATAGACTTCAAAACGTGTTAACTACGAATCTTTAGAGGTGCGAGTTTTTGTTCGCTAATGCTAGAAGCAGGAGATAAATGACTAAACCGACTAAACCTAGCTAGCCCAACTGTGCCGTCTTCTGGTGCAGTTCTGAGCAAGAACGCGACTAAGTGTGTTTTCCCAAATGTCCTACTTTTCTTTTAAAGCAGAAAGAGATTTGGTTACGCTCAACAGCCCTCCAGCTCACCTTCATCTGCTTGACTGTGTAGCGCATCGTTCCAAAAGGTCCATCTCTCAGAGGCTTCTTGCCCACGACTTTCGCTCGAATCACTGCAAAGAGAAAGCGAGTGGGACATCAGCGGAAACACTTTGAAACAGTCACATTCCTCCCGACACAGAACTCTCCAATCCATCAAATAGCACTCGGCCGCTATGCGGCATTAGCGTTGTGAATACCATTTTAGGACCGGTTGGCACGGCAGTTAATCCGTTTATCTGATTTTCTGCATTGCTGCTGTTTGCCAAGGAAGGCCGATGGGAAAAAATGCTACGGGGACTTTTGAGTTTGATACAGAAATTAGGGGGAAAGAGCCCTTGTCCGTGTGCAGAGGTTCGTTTCCACGGCCGGTGTTTGAGATGTTTGGGTAGATAAATGCTCATACTGCTAAAAGCGGAACTTTTGTGGACTCTTGGTTTTGATTTTGAAGTGATAATATTCAGATCACAATTAGCAAACCATGACTCCAATCACATTTTTGATCTTTAATAAGTGCAGTGTGTGTCTCCCGTTTCCTTCTGAGATGCTATCGGTTTGTCGGATCCAAATGTAAACGTCTGCGAGGTGAGAACGCCCAGTTGTGAGGATGGTTTGTTTGGTGGAGTAAAGGGGCTTATTGTGGACGGCCGGGGAGCTGTGAGTGTGGAAATGGGTCATAATTTGAGCCCATGAATAACAATCCGAGCAGAGCTGCGGGCCCCGCATACGAGCCGCCTCTCCTCTGTGAAGTTTACCTGCAGCCCATAGCCGACCGGCCGCAGACACAACGAACACTGGCCATGTTTGTTATTCCCCCGGTGGAATTTCCGTAACACATTCTTCAGTGGCTCACATTCCCCAGAAAGGAAAAGAGAAAAAGCGAAGAAAGAAACGAGGCATGTAGCATGTCCTCAGCTGTCCTACGTCCATGCGAGCGGTGATGGGTATAAAAATAAGACTCAAAACAGGAAGCAGTTACAGCACGGCCACCCAAAATTGGTGACCACAAATTTATTTTGGACATGGAGACCCCAGTTTGAACTAAGCGTTTATTTAAACAACCTATAAAAAAAAATAAAAAAAATGGAATTCAAGCCACCCGGACCTAATCTTAAGAATGTGGCCAACCAGCATCTTATGAACAGAAGTAAAATGTACTTTTTGGTTAATTTGAATGTAATTTGGTGTATTTTGAAGAGCATTTCTGATCAGCAAATTCAAAAAAGAAACTATGCAATTATAAGCCAGGAGCCATCGCGATTTGCCCTCTGGGGAAGAGCAACAAGAGGAGAAACAAGTGTTCCGCAGGTCAGCTGCTTCTACATCAGTTAGGTCCCCTCTTGTTGGACAGCGGCCACTAATTGGCCAGTGATGGTGCCATCACCCCGAGGAATGTGTGAAGGGCCTCAGCTGCTCCAGAGACAGAGGGCCGGTGTCATTGCCATGCAGTGACCCCTTCACCGCCCCACAATTCACCGCTTATATTTCCGTGCAGGTTACAAGAGTTTATTCACCCCACGTTCCTAAAGTGGTCACAGGTCAGCCTGTTTCAACTGGTTACTGTGGACATACTGTGTGGGTAGTGCCTACGTTCTACTCATACTACTTTGACTTCCTGTACATGTGTAAGTACGTCATGAGGATATATGCGTATTCCCATCTGCATACGTTTCGTCCTCTTATGGTCTTTGATTGGTTGTAGACAAGAGTCAGGTTTTGATGCTTCACAAATAAGCCGTTTAAAGGGATTATTTTGCATATATGCAGTACTACTTACGGGGGATTTAGGTGGGAAATAAGGCAATTGAAGTGCTTATGGTTCAACTTTTCAGACACCATGCATATATGAAAAGAGATATATATATATATATATATATATATATTAATAACTAATATATTATGTAGTCAGGTTAAAATATCTGTCAGCATCTCTATGCTGTAATGTTAGAGGTTCTCTCCCCCTTACTTGCTAAAAATGAGGAATTAGAGGCGGGTGTGGGAGGCTTTCTGTGATGAGAGAGGTAAGCAGCGTCTGACAAGAAAGAAGTGAATCCATTTCTCCCTCAGTATCTCCTGCAGAAAGCCAGGGGGATTACACAGGCACGGATGCCAGTGTAGAGTCTTAAGGTGAGCATGTCATTTAAGTCAGCCTACGTACTTTGTGGCAAACTGCAGGCGTGACAAGAATTAGGCTGCTGGTTGCGCGTGTTTGCGTGAGGGAGTAAAAGAAAGCCAGCGAGGCAGGCGACAGTGATTTCAGTATGCAGAAAGTGGTCCAACTTCGGGAAGGCGAGTGGGAGGAAGAGGAATCCTCGAGGCGACCCACCGCCTTGCTCAAAAATAAACACGCCGGAGCACCGAGCCCGAAACATCCGCTTACCGGAGGGCAAAATGCAAAGGGAGCCTATGAAGTATGAGCTCTTATCACTACGTCCGATACTCGAGGATCCTCAAGTCTCAGCAAAGCGACCAATGCCCCCGTTGGACTGAGTCGTGGGAATCTCGAAGCAAGCGGCTATTTGGAATCCTAATGCGATGCCTGCTGACCTCATCAACGCTAGCGTTTTTGTCTTTTCATGAATTCCCTCACAACAAAGCACTTTCACCCAATCTGATTGCAAAAGAGTCACAGTGACACCGGCCTTGTAGTTAGTCAGGGGTGGCTTGCTGCCTTGTTCCCTGCTTTTCATATCTCTCTCCCTCTTTATCTTCATCACTGCCTCACCTGTTCTGCCTACAGACTCGTTGGCCAGTTGATTACCTAACTGTCAAATCCGGTTTGTAATTTGATCCGCCGCTCCTATTCGTCTCTCTTCACTTGTTTTTAACACTTGAAGGCCACCATGGAAAAGCGGACACTATGAAGATAAATACATTTCGCTGAAGGTAAAATTGGTCAACGCTCCCAGCCAGCATAACTGAGGGGGAATAAATCACTGGCGTGTGGTGCAATAGTCGTAGTATCATGAGTGTGTGCTGGGCTGGCGTCCATCGCCCCCCGCCTGGCCCCCCGTGCGTAATGGAGTGGAGCCCTCAGGGGCTGCGTGGGCCTCAGAGAAAAAACGGGAGGGACGGGCTGGACATCGGATACGCTTGGCTCAGGGGACGAACATCCCAGGCTTGAGCGGAATCCAGAACCTTCTGACATTGCATCGTATTTTAGCTCTTTTGGGAAAGCTGGGGAGATCTGATCCAAGCTTACACAATGCGCCTCACAACAGGAGTCCTGGCTTCACTCCGGTTATCCTCTGTCACCTGTTGACTTGCAGTTGAGGCAGGAGTTTTTGATTCAACCCAACACTGGTCCCGAGTAGCAAGAGGTGGTGGTACACGCGTACCGGTACCAACAGAGCGCCGTCGCAAAGCCCTCGGGCCTGGTCGCTTCTTAGCCCGCTACGCAGCACAAAGCTGCTGTGTGTAATGGAGTGGGCACAGAACTGCCCACAGCGGGCCGGGCTCCATTTCTCTCGGTGCCCTGATCCTCAATCCCAAACCCGGCATCAACGCATATCACGCTAATCCCCAACGACTGACCTGGTTCGCGGTGCAAGCGTGTGACGGTTTGCTCGGTCACCCCGAGCGCTCGGGAGCTTGCGCCCTTACAGGGCAACATTTAAATCTCAGGGTCAAAGTTTACTGCCGGGCCTCTAATCTCGCTTTTTGGACGGCTTTGGCAAAACAAACGCTGCTCGTATCCTCTTGTGAATGGGCGGTGTTTTAACCCTGCTGCCTAACAGCAGCCAACAAGTTATCCGGTTTTCTCATTCAGTTCAATGAGAAAGTGCGTACACACGTTTGGCTTTTACTGTTTGTTAGTGGAAACGCTGACAGGATATCTCAAATTTATTGGGAGATAAGCTGGCCAATTGCGGCGTGGAAAATTTCCCACGTACAAACTTTGATAAGCAGGTACTTAAACTGCGGAAGTTACACTGCTGCCTTCCTACTTCTCTTAAACACCATCAGACCGAAGGGAAAGCAAGAGACACAAAACACCCTCTTACATATTTCTATTTAAACATTCCAATTACCCAATCGCCAAGCCTTTAACCCAATTGTGATTCATCCAGCGGACTGCGTGCAGAGATTATGGGTCAGGGCCAAGAAAGCAACAGCTTTGAACTCAACTACGGGTCTTAAATTGTGAAGATTCCAGCCTGTCGCCTTTGATGTCGACAGTGAGAATTAGGGGGTTTCTCCTCCGCATTAGCATTCCATACCTGTACCTTTTTTGTTTTCCATGTCTCTGTTTCAGCTCAAGGTGATAGAAATAGGATGAATGTTAAATGACAGAACTATCAAGGATTGGAGGATCTCCTTGTGTTATTTGTGTAAACACTCCACATAATACCGTTGAGCCGGTGCTTCAACTTGCATCAACATTGGACTGGACTTGATTTTAATGCCATACGTGGAAAAAGGACAATAAGGCGGTGGATAATTCAGGCTCACACATTTTGATGATCTGGACTTTACGCACATTAATAGCTGTGACCTTTGCATCCAGCCCGCGATTCAGAAGTCTTTCCCTCTGAGGACCCAGGTGCAAGATTCATTGCATTCAAAGCACACCTAAACCGGGACCTTGCAAATGGGATTTGTGGGACGCACGCCCGATCACTGCGCCTATTGAAGTCAGTCCCAGATTCAAAGTGGGTGCCAAACCCCACGAGCTATCTGAGGGACTGTGAAAGGCTTCGCATATGCGGTGAAGCCCCCACGGGCCCCGTGATCAGGGTTTAGCCAGTGACACTTTGGGGTCCTGGAGTTGCAATATCCGCCCTATTGCTAAGAGGGCAGCAGGGTTTAACCTGCAGCCCCTCCCCTATAGGACCCTTCGGAGGAGTCACCCACGTGTCGCAGCGGCTTCCTGGCCACGTCACCAGCGCCTACGTAAAAATGGTTGGTTCCTTCAAATCTGGGCAAAGAAGTGTTTTTAAGGTTATAGTAAGTGTGTGTCTCCTTCCCCGCTGGAAATCAGATGACCTTGTGGAGTCATTTCATCCCCTAAACCGCCCGCATCTTTCGGACCCCCAACTACACCAAATCAAAACAAAGCCCAGTTTGGACCGGCGCTGCAGGCTGAGCCAGGTCCCAAGTTCATATTATTCATAGAAAGCAAAGTAAGATCAGGTATAACCAGGCTATAAAACAAGCTATTTAACACGGCCTCCCCACGCCATATCTGGGTTACAGCCCAGTGGCTGCAGCACACAGATATTCCAATGTGCTGATAAAAAAAGGCCGGATTTGATACTTCTAAGCCGACCGCAGGTCCATCACACCGCTTATACTCACTTGCATGCCTGGAGCTTGAAAATGAAAATATTAAATTCAAACTTCACCAATTTGAGCGTAAAAAGCATGGCAACCTATAGGGAACCTTGGTGTCACTTTTTAGACAAATCGCTGGTGTAACCAGTCCTTCACTGACCACACACTTTGTTATATTATATCATATTACAATAAAATAGTGAAACGTGTTTGCAGCATCGCAGCTATTATTAGTATCCTAATCTGAACGTGTCAGAAGTAGTGTTGACATGTGGTTGAAAGTTTAAAAAAAAAGAGTAAGTGACCGAGCTTATTCCCATTTTATTGTATTTACTAAAGTTCTCCAATAATCAAAGGGGGGGGGGGGGGGGGGGTCGGATGACCATCACCAAAAGACGCGCACCGAGTAAACTGATCGCAGGTCAGCTCCGACGCGCAGCACTTCGATCT